CATGCGACAATTACCTCAGCATGAGTGATGAAGTAACCAGAATGTTTTTAACTCTGGGTGTTTGTCAAGCTTCCATAAAAATGTGTTTGAATAAACGTAGGCCGTAGCCATTACATAGTAGTAGTAAATCTTTCAAAGTACGAAATATCTCTTTAAAAGAGCATCCTAGGCACCTTATAGATATCAAAACGCTTAAAAAAGAAAACAAAAAACATCAACCAACTTCTAACTTCTTCCACTCCTCCCTATCTAAAGCTAAAAATCTAAGGTCTTCGAAATCAGTCAAATTCTTAAGTCTAATATCAAGATTTCTACTAGTCAAGTCTTTTCTAATAACATCTAATAAGTTTAAACATGGTCTACCCCGTCTCCCTTCCATAAAAATATCAGAATTTATAGCAAATAACATAGAGGTGTATGCTGGTGAGTCTTCCTGTCCTCTTAAGATATGTCCTAACATTCTCCATCGAAACTTAGAGACTCTCACAGACAAGGGAGTGACATAACAACGAGCATAGAGTGCCTCATTAGAAATAACCCCAGTAGGCCATCTGATGTTGAGGATTCTTCGGAGGTGTTTGCGATGAGCAATATCAAGTTCATTCAACGAAGCTAGTGGTGCAGCCCAGGAGTTGCAGTTGTAGAGTAGAATAGAGACTACTTGTGCCTCGTAGATTTTGATCTTCCTTTGGACTGAAATCTTGCTCTTCATCCAAACTTTCTGAAATTTACTAAAGGCAACATTACCAAGGAATATTCGATTAGCCATTACATAACTACAAGAAATTCGAATCAATGATGTACAGATTTAATTTCAATTATAGTTATGATGTTTTTAATAATTTATAATCAAAGCACAAAGCTTATATTAGTTTTCTCTCTCGATGTCGATCTATTTGTACCAGGAAAAATGCTTGATTACAAAAATAGGTATTCTCAAAATATTTTTTTGTGTGGAAACGGTACGCTAGATGGTCACTGAACTGCATATGAGGTCATTTGGCTTGGACGGCACAAACCACTGTTTTGGTGTACGCCCCCTTAAAATCACATTCCAAGGCACAGAGTCAGTTTCTTACTGTGTAACATATTATCCTTCAATCAATCGTTATTATGGCATGAAAGAGGTCATATCTCTAAATTTCATTATGAAAAAGAAATTAATAAATCCAAATTTGTTAAGATAACAACATGCAAAATGAACCAGGCATATGAAAACAAAGGTGCACTTCACGTATTCCTGGTTCATTCAGCAGTAAACCGTAAAGACAAACACAGAAGTCTAAATCTAATAGTCATCTATATTCTCAACTATTAAATATTAATATATATCAATTCCCAAACAATTTAATTTCGCAGCAAATTCAAAACAGCCCAAAAATTTATGCACTCGACATTGTTCAGTAGGGTTGTATCACCATATCAGACATCACCACATTTCTTCAATGTTAATGAATCAATGGTGATATACAACAGTAAATGGTAATATGCTAAAAAACAGGTTCAAATAAAATTCGTCAGAGTCTTGCGGAGGTAATGTTCGGATTAGTAAGTTCTGGAAAAAGAAGAGGTGTCCTCAGGTGGGGGGAGGCGGTTTGGTGAATTGTATCATACCCAATCCGACTCCCTTGTTAATATGTTGCATATATCTGGGAAAGTGAATCATCAGGGAATTTTATAATAAAATAAAATAAAATAAAAAATAAAGAATAAATCACATCGCATCATTTATTTATCAAAGCTCTATTAGCTGTTTACCTGCTTTTCTCATACTCATTTTCCATAGAATTAACAGCTTCAGATGAGCGTAACACGCTCTCATCAGACTTTTTATAATCCTTTAAATCTGAAAAAAAAATGTTATAGGAAATATGAGATAAACAGCACAGTGTAATTCGACAAGAGTTTAATCTACAATTGTATCTAAACCTTAAATTGCTAAGACTTACTGTCAGCAGTAACATCCCTAACTCCCATGAGTTTCAGAAACTTGGCTGTTTGCTCCCCTGTTTCGTCGTTTTTAAGGCATCCTGTTCCCCAGGCACCTTTCTGACTTGAAGTTGATCCCTCTCCATCCTACGTTTAATTATTATTAATTATGAGATTCACATCTAAGAAAACACAAAGTGTCATGTCTCTGATTTAAAATTAAATTTCGACATTTCCCGTTATTTTGAATCTAAAAACACGTTTGAAACCATCCACTTATCATTTTAATGACCTCTTTTTTGCCCCAAAGCAATTTCCTCTTTTCTCGTTGAGCGGCCAGCTGCTTTGCGATGGTGTTGTCAAATGAAGTTGGAAGAGTTGAATCTGTCTTAACATCCTTCAGAGACTCTGAGAAAATAGAGGCATACAAAAACTCCGATGAGTGATCATTTTTAAATTAATATAGTTACTAATTTATTATTTAGTAATCATTGAACTATTTCCGTTTGATATTCGTTTAATTTCTTTAGTCATGATTTAAAATATTCTGTGATCGAAATAGGGATTCAAGGTTCAGATAATAATCCAACATTATTAATTCTTTAATAACTTTGTGACTGTAGTAAAATAATAATTAAAGGTGGGGAAAAGCTAAAAATTAATCTGGAGAACATTATATTGTTCTGACCTGCGCTAACTTTGCCCCAATCTCTGCTATCCCCATATTTTTTTCTTCTATATTCTTCAAATTCTCGGTCTTTTGCCTCCTGGCTGGCCGACCTATATAATAAAGTATTGATTATTATTTATATAATAACAGCAACCATTACAATGAATATGAAAGCATACTTTAGTGCTATTTTACGAATTCATTTCAATCGTATCACACGCATTTATGAATAATGAGCCTAGGAATAATGCGACCCACCTGTGCCTAAAGTCTGTGCGATGGTCTCTACCGCGGTAACCTCTGCCTCTAAAGTCTCTGCCACCACGGTTGTCTCTACGTTTGTAGTCACGTGATCTGGAAAGTAATTTGCTTATAGGTCATACATAAATAATAATATGCGGTCGGGTTGGTCATGTTTTGTAAGGATATAACTAGATTTACTAGAGTATATTATCTAGCCTAGTATAATAATACGACATGGAGCTGACACGTGACAGGACCGCCTATAACTCATGCGCTTTCTGTAGCTTATGTTGTGCTCCAGAAGGACTGAGGATAAGATAAGACAAATCATTGATCGGTAGGCACGGAAACTGTAAATACTGAATAGGTAAATTTAACTGTATACGAGTAGACATTACAGAGAAGACATCTCAAACCTCCAATGTTAGCGACACCCTCCCCAAAATGTATAAATCTCACCTCTCGTGATCACGGCCTGATCTATCGTCCCTTTTATGGTGCGTGTGGTCCATTCTCCTCTTATCTTCCCGGTCTCGAGATCTGGCACTCTTATATTTGTCATCTCTTGACTTGTCGCCCCGGTTCCTGTCGTCACGTGACAAGTTGTCAGACGAGCGGACCCCATGGTTCCTATTAGCTCGTGATTCATCAGAAGAGCTGGTTCTATCGACGTGTTTGTCTTTGTTCTTTTCATCAGAATTACCGTCTGATTTCCCTGTGAATAAAATGTTGTAGAATCAGTGATTGTACGGACAGTGCAGTGGACACAGAAAACGTGATTAATAATGAGATCAACAAATTATCACTCTGTGTTCCACAATAACGTCTCTAGGGCTACCAAATTTCAGATAACATTGTAGATACGAGCTTTTAAAACTTCAGTAATTCGATGGAGATAATTCAAGGCTAAAAAACGTGGATGTTTAGTGTTTACGCTCCTCATTTAATTGAAGAAGTTAGGAACATAATTATTGGAATATTGCCAAATAAGGTGAGTTCTTGTTTAACCTAGTAGATTAATTTTAGAATAAAATCCATGCCCTCTAGACCCTAGCTAAACGGCACGTGACGCGTCACGTGATCAATAACGAGATGCGTGACAGGGCGAATTTTAGAGCTCAACCTCGTGGGAGGAAGAGTGCCATTAGATGCCAGAAGAAAAGTTGTACTTTTGTGAGAACTTTTTGCCTACATCACGAATTTAATATAACTCAACCCGCAAGAGTTGAAGATATTTTCACAATTTATGGGATTTTCAGATCACGTACTCGGCGTTATATACGAGATGCGCTATGTGCCGACCAGCTATAACAGAGACTCACGCAACAACGAGATATGCGTCAACGTAATCCAAATGCACGAAACTTAAACAATTTTACTATCAATTTGGCGAGAACCTCGCGAATTAGTCATAATTAAGATTTAAGGATAACCCTGGCCCTGACTTCAAGCAAAGATGAATGTTTTCATTAATTTCTGTCAACAATTTCGACGGTCCATGATAATGGATCTATAATTTAATTTTAATCATGTGTAATCCTGTGTAATCCATTAAGTGACGCGTTACATACCGTCTAGTTAAGGTCTCATAATTATACCAAGACTTCAGAGACCACCTCAGTGCTGAAGCTAAGCCTTTTCACCAATACAGGTTTCTCTTGACAGACATCTAAGTTATTAGCTGAGTAGGATACGTTACATTATTTTAGGGGAATCTACCTTTCTAAGGTCGCATTCATTGTATGAATTTACTGTTTGAAAGGTTATACCTGAACCTCTACTCTCGCTTTTGATCTTGGATATATTTAGTGTTCCACTGTTGTGTTTTAATCAGTAATTTATCGACTCTATTCATGATTGGTAAAGTCGGGAGTTTTAGGTCTACCCTTCACCAAATTTTCTTTTATTTAAAGTTTGTCTCATCCGAAAATATTAATATTTGACCAATTCATGGCCTAGAAGCTATCAAATTTTATGCGTATGCCAAAATTTAAATATGGGCAGTTCTTCGATAAAAATTCAGCCTTTTTTGTCCAATTAGGTTAAAAATTATAGGTATTATACCCAACAAGTGAGCAATTTCACTCTTGAGTTTCAATTTAATGTTTGGGTGCTTCATCACTGTTTAAGAACACAAGTAAAAAGAGTGAATAAATGGCGACAGAAATTGTCAAATAAGTAATATAAACTATAAAGTATATTATTACAGAAACACCATAATATGCATACTTTGTTTGTACTGACAGTTAAAAGATACAAAATTCTAAAATGAACTCCTTAGTGGCTGGCTGTTCACCTAAAATTGTCAGTTGTTATAAAAAATATTCTGAATCAGAATATGACAACGAATATGATTTTCCAAATTAAAACTGTTGAGTCCTGTCATGTTCTACTTAGTGAAACCTTTTTACACCGGGCATCTTGGGGAAGCAAAAAGTGCAAGGTATGAAAAACGTATCTGTATTCTGTACTCTGTAGCCTCACAGCTGATAACCTGTCAAGTGGCACGGCATAGAGAGATTTGACACTCGTAGAAAATTTACATATTATATCCTAGATTTTGTACTTGTAGTCCCTTCTTCTTTCCTCGACATCTTGTCCAGTGAGAGGTATCCGCTCGTTTCCAGTCTCGACCAGCAGAAATGATCCCAGCATACAAAGGACCGAAATAAAAGCTAGGCCCCCGAGAGGTACCGCTTTGTGAGTGATGGGTGCCAAATTGTTGAATATGAACGGACCTATGAAGGAGCCAACTCTGGAAATACCAGAACAAATACTGAACACAAGACCTCTGTGTGTTGTTGGTGCTATTTCTCCAGTCCAGAGAAACAGCCCCGCGTATGCTCCGGTAACAAATATGACTCCGATCAAACAGCTGACACTTTCCATTGTCCAGCCACTTCCAAATTCCACGTTTGGAATCGCTATGAGGTAAGTCAGAGCAGCCCCGAGAAACATGACTACCATGGCCCTTCTTCTTCCCAGCCAGCCTGTAAAAGAGACGCACGTTAAAGAAGATATTGCTTCTCCCACACCAGCCATAATGTACCCTGAGTATATATCTGGCAATATCTCTCCCCAACCAAAACTGAAACCACAATAAAACATAGCAACAGATGGCCACAGGGCCATGAGTATTATCGTTTCAAGTCGAAGACTCGGGTACCGAATAAATTCGGTCAGTTGCTGCTTGAAATTATGGTTTCTATCTTTAGCCTTTCCGACGTCTATAATTTGGATGTTTTCTAGATCCAAGTCTATGCTGTTCAATTTTGCTAAGGTTTTGAAGACTTTCTTGGCTGCGTTCACATCATTTTTTATCAAAAAGAATCTGGGCGATTCTGGGCAGATAAAGATTTGTAATGCTATGAGCCACATCATTATTGACGTTGCTAAAAACATGTTGTTCCAGCTTTTTATGAAGTAGCCGATTCCTACTGCAATGAAGTAACCAAATGAAGCCAAACACCCTGACCAACCGTTCGTGATGTTCCTATGCTTGGATGGAATAAGCTCCGCTGTGAGAATGTACATCCCATCGGAAGCTAAAATATTACCAACGCCAATGAAAAACCTAATTGCTAAGAGTAATTTGTAGTCATGACAAAATGTCCCCAATAGATGTGAAGAAGCTCCGATGAAGATGCCAATCATGGCTGTCTTTTTTCTTCCAATATTATCGTACAAGTAACCACCTAGAATAAACCCCAACAATCCTCCAGCAAACAAAATTGACGATAACAGGGTTTTCCGTGCCTTTCGGGATCCGACATCGCAGTACAAATCAAACTCCACAGAAAATGAGGTATGCTCAAGACTCCATTCTATGTCCGAAGGTCCAAAAATTAGCTCTTCTTTGCCACTTACTTCTTCCGTGATTTTGCAAGGAAATTTTTGAAGTAATGATGGATTAACTCTTGTCAATTCAAGACACTTTTCGGATTTGCATTTCCAAATATCGTCGGGGGTTGGGTCAATACCTGAAAAAGTATTTGCAAATTAGCAAAATTAGCTAAAATAAATACACACCATCTTCATTTTAGTACTAGAATGTAGATGAAAATACATAAAATTGCAGCACGTTTTGAATTTCTTCCCGATCTTGTACTTTTTGATTTATATCATACATAATGATCTGCGATCAGGCTTTTAAGTTATGTTATTCCAATCACCTGCGAATGCAGTTAAATAAATGTTTACGGTTTGTCCCGTCCATATCAACATCAGTGACATTATCAGAGCTGTATACTTCCAACTCCGGTTTCGGGTCAACTCCTCTAGCAAATCATCACTACTGACCGGTCCTTTATCTGCTTCCGGCAGGCTGGATTCATTAGTTGAGTGAACCTTATTTTCCACGATCATCCTCACAACTAATGCTACCTTCTGTGTTATTCTTTGGTTTTTTACTGATCTTCAAAAATGCAAAGGTAATTCAGACGTATACGATTTAAACTACAACGACTAGCAACGTTTAAATAAAGCTAAACTGGTAAGAAAAGGGTGCGCTTTGTAGCGGCAAGGAGATCGCAAAATAACCTATTGAGTATTGATGAGCACAGCTGAATGAGATCTGCGTATTGGTTCAAATTGAATGTTGGACTAGAAACAAACTAAACCCCATGACCAGTTCTTATAGAGGCTTCATACTTTGACTTTTAAATATATATAATTCGGTGCAATATGATACCAAAATTATTTCGCAAAGATTAAGTTAAACACAAATCAGCCGACTAGATGGCGGTCTGAAAGTGATCACGTGATATTCGAAAGCTTCACTGTGTTTAGAATTAGTGTTACAAAGAGCTTCCTGGAATACTCCTGTTTTTATTAAAGCGAAATACCCGATGGTATCTTAAGCCAAAACGTTAAATATAATCATCACACTGTAAGATAATGGTATGTGAGTAATTATAGACGTTATTAAACGGAATTAAATTTAATTTCGTTATATTAAATTCTGTCAATGCACAAAGTACCATCTTTAGATATAAACTCTTGAAGTATTTGCGGTTCTGACAAATGAAACGAACGTTTTAACTGTTCGAATATTGACTTTGCAGGTGTAGTGAGTGTACATAATATGGAGAAAATATAAAGTTAAAAAATACAACTCTTCCGTCATATCAAAACCATAACAGCATGCTTTTTTTCACGCTCCAATAATTTGAAACGCTCCAATAATTTGAAACCGGAGTCTGTTATCTCTCAAAATCAGCCAAAACTTTAAAAATATTTTAAAAGCAGTTTTCTGTCCTTTTCTGAACCATGTCTCTATATAGGTTAGGGTTAGGGTTAGGGTTAGGCCGGTTAGGGTTAGGGTTAGGGTTACGGTTAAAGTACCATCTTTAGATATAAACACTTAAAGTATTTGGGGTTCTGACAAATGAAACTAATGTTCAAACTGATCGAATATTGACTATGCAGGTGGCCCCACGAAAACCTCACCGAACCTCCACGCGGTGTGGGGTGGGTGGCTCGAACGGGAGGTGCATGGGTGTTTCTAACCTATGCAAAGGAAGGAACTAGCTATCTCTACAAAAAAGGAAGGCTCTAATAGCCTCTACTAAACTTAGAACCGCAGCATAACCGCTCTTCCCACAGGCAAATAATACCTTCCAGGAAACTAACACGCTCACAGGCTTCCACGTCTCGCGTGCCCTAGGATTTGGTTTTGTATCGGATACTCAAAACAACGATAGAGGAGCCACTGGGAGACTTTGGGACCGGAAACTGATCGGTCCCAAATCCAGGTGTGAAGATCCCGTGTGAAAAGGCCTAGCTAAGCAATTTGGCAATAGAGATCATTTTCAAACACAGTTTCAAGAACGATTAAAATGATACGATTTTAAATGCATGTTAGGGCCTGCAAGCAGCTCTTGCGAAATAAACTTGTAGTTCGAAAAGGGATGCATAATGCATTCTATCGAAAAACTGCTTCCAGAATTGAAATCTAGCAATGTGAAATGAAAAATCCAGAAAGATTTTTTTGTACCAATTTAATGGTGAGAGGAAAAGTCCTGCAAGTTTTGAAAAATATGCTTATAGTAATAGGTCTCACTCTCAAAGAGGGTGCAACATGCAATGGGGAGAAACTGGAGCAAATTTTGGAAAATTTGTTTTAAGGAATGAATTCTAGCAATTATGTTATGCAAATTTGGACTACAAGGGGCAAACTGTGTCCTGTTAATTTAATCCCACGGCATTAAAGAGTAATCAGTAATGTTATCTGAATTTTATAATCGCTAGGCTTCTGAACTTCTGATGAATCCTGACACCAAGCTTTAATTCAGGGTAATTCACACATCGAAACTTTAAATTTTATCAAATTACTGATGTCCTAATAAGTAATATTACGTCTGTTATTTCATCGGATTACGATGTTATTTTATCAAAATCAGCTACCCGTTTAATATCAGAATATGTAATATAAATTAACAGATTTCTGGTTCATGCCAGCTGGATTGTGTCCTGCTAATTTACTTGAAAATACTGAACACAGCATAGAAGAGTAACTAGCAATGTTATCTGAATTTTATAATCGCTAGGTTCCTGAACTTCTGATGAATCCTGACATGTAATATCGGAATATGTAATATAAATTATCAGATTTCTGGTTCATGCCAGCTCACAGCTGGATTGTGTCCTGCTAATTTACTTGAAGATACTGAACACGACACAGAAGCGTAACTAGCAATGTTTTCTGAATTTTATAAATCGGCAACTATCGTGCAGTTTGACTGCAGTTAGACAGGATAGGCCAAATGAGGCCAAAAGGTTTGCCCCTTTTAGCCCCTTTTCCAGATTTTAGGGGAGGGGGGGAGGGGGGGGGGGGTCGCCCACCTTCCCGGTGCCCCCCTCTTCCTACACTCCTGAGTTGTACATAGAAGGCCATGACCTCCCCTGAAAGTCCCTGTCTCTCCGTCGTTAACCCGGCGGGGTTGCACCAGGGGCGGTGGTAACAGAACTTCAAGACTCCCGGAGTCTGTCGTCGATATCTATGTTTAATATATTTTAAATGGTATATAATTTGGGAGTCTCTCTCTCCAGCAGCAGGAGTTGGGGAAATGGGGACGTGTTGTGAAAGCCACCGTAAGGAAGGCTTACTGTCGACGCCGACCAATCAGAAGAAGACTTTGCAGGTAAGTGTACAATGTACATATGAAGAAAATATAAAGTTTTAAAAAATACAACTCTTCTTCTTATCAAAACCATAACAGCATGCTCAATTTCACGTTCGAATAATTTGAAACTGGAGTCTGTTATCTCTCAAAATCAGAAAAGCTTAAAAATGGTTTAAAAGCAGTTTTCAGTCCTAATATGAAGGTCTCTATGATGTTATCTTCGTTATAATGGTAGGTAGAGTGTCGTTGCGGGGGAGTCCTGCCATGGTCTACTATACAGGGTACAATCTTAAATCTTGTACTTGTAGCCCTTTCTTCTTTCCTCGACATCTTGTCCAGTGAGAGGTATTCGCTCGTTTCCAGTCTCGACCAGCAGAAATGATCCCACCATACAAAGAACCGAGATAAAAGCTAGGCCCCCAAGAGGTACCGCTTTGTGAGTGATGGGTGCCAAATTGTTGAATATGAACGGACCTATGAAGGAGCCAAATCTCGAAATGCCACAACAACTGCTGAACACAATACCCCTATGTGTTGTAGGTGCTATTTCTCCAGTCCAAAGAAACAGCCCTGAGTAAGCCCCGGACACAAATGTAATTCCGTACAAACAGCTGACGCTCTCCAGATTCCAGCCCCTTCCAAATTCCACGTCTGGAATCGCTATGAGGTAAGTCAGAGCAGCCCCTAGAAACATGACTATCATTGCCCTTCTTCTTCCCAGCCAGCCTATTAAACAAACGCACATAAAATAAGCAATCAGTTCTCCCACACCAGCCATAATGTACCCTGTGTATCTATCTGGTAGTATTTCTCCCCAACCAAAGTTGAAGCCGAAGTAGAACATCGCAACGGATGGCCAAAGGAACATCAGAATTATCGTTTCGAGACGAAGACTTGGGTACCGAATAAATTCGATCAGTTGCTGCCTGGCATTATGGTCTCTATCTTTAGCCTTTCCGACATCTGCTATTTCGATGTTTTCCAGATCAAGGTTCATCTTGTTCAATTTTGCCAAAGCTTTCAAGACTTTCTTGGCTGCTTCTACATCATTTTTTATCAAAAAGAATCTTGGCGATTCTGGGCAGATAAGGGTTTGTAATGTTATAAGCACCAACATCACGGACGTTGCTAAAAACATGTTGTTCCAGCTTTTAATAAAGTAGCCGATTCCTACTGCAATGGGGTAACCAAATGCCCACAAACATCCTGCCCAACCATTTATAATGTTCCTATGTTTTGATGGAACAAGCTCTGCTGTGAGAAGGTACATGCCATTTGTTGACAAAAGACTACCAATGCCAAGGAAGTACCTGATTGCCAAGAGTAAGGAGTAGTTGTGACAAAATTTCCCTATTAAAAGTGAGGAGGCCCCGATGAACATGCCAATCATTGCTGTCTTCTTTCTCCCAATTTTATCGGGCAAGTAGCCACCAAGAATTAATCCTGATAATCCTCCAGCGAAGAAAATTGATGTTAACAAGGTCTTTCGTGCTTTTCGGGATCCAACATCGCAGTACAAGTCAAAATCAGCAGAAAATGAGGTATGTTCAAGACTCCATTCTATGTCAGAAGGTCCAAGAATCAGTTCTTCTTTGCCATCTTCTTCTTTGGTGATTTTGCAAGGAAATTTGTGTATTAATGATGGATTGGCTCTTGTCAAATTATAGCACTTTTCGGATTTGCATTTCCAAATGTCGTCGGGGGTTGGATCAATACCTGGATCAAAATTTGCAAGTTAGTAAAATTAGATCATCTTCAGTAAATTTAAGTAGTTCAATAAATAAAAGTGATGCATACAAGAAAACATAGCACGATTTTTATCAATTTATGATCTTGTACGTTTCGACCTATATGATACATCATAATCTGTGATTAGTCTTGCAAGTTATTTCAGCTGCAAAAATCACCTGCGAATGCAGTTATATAATGAATAGAAGGCCCTCCCATCCATACCAACATCAGTGACATTATCAGAGCTGTGTACTTCCAACTCCGGTTTCGGGTCAACTCCTCTAGCAAATCATCACTACTGACCGGTCCTTTATCTGCTTCCGGCAGGCTGGATTCTATAGTTGAATGAGCCTTATTTTCCACGATCATCTTCACAAGTACTTCAAACTTCTGAGATATTTTCTGTTCTGTAACTGAACCTTATATACGTAGATCAATAAATTCTCCAAAGGTTGTTCAGTACATGGACAATTTAAAAACTGAAACGATACACAACGACGAATAAAATCGAACTTGGTATGACAAAATATTCAACAAGGAATGGATATTTAACGAGGAGCACATATCTAACGAGGAGTTTGTAGCACCGAAAAGGTCACATGATAAATTATAAATGAAATATGATTCAGTGAGGTACAACATTATAAATGAGCACGGCTCATCTTACACTGCTGAATGTTGCATAATGGTTACAAGGGTCAGAATGGTTACAAGGGTCAGAACACGGTCAGAAGAATAAAAGTAAAATTCATGTAGGCCTTGTACTTTGTAGGGTCACTAATAAAGTCTGTGCCAACTTGATTCTAATTTTATATATTAAAGGTGAATGTCTATAATGGGGTACTCCGTACTAGGTCCCAAAATGTGGACCCCAGTATATATATAATAAGTGAAAGGCTTAGTTGAGGTTCACAAACTTCAGATTGTGCATTGGTGACTTAAGGGGGGGGGCCAATGGGTATTTTTTTGTGAAACTTGATTTCGAGATAGCAATTGACCAACAAACTAAGACCAGTGACCGAACTTTTGAGGGGGTCCCGGACCCCAACCGCCAAACGGTGCGCGCAGGGCAGCCACGCCCATATTTGGTCCAAATTAGGCCCAATTTAGCCAAATACCCTGAACATGCCCAAAACCAAGGTTTATGGTGCTCTACTTGTAGCTAGTGGTCTCCTGAACTCGTATATGAAATTTCATCAAGATTGGACAAAAAATGACTGAGTTATGAGCCAAAAACCATATGCCCATATTTGGGCATACGCACCAAATTTGGTAGATTTCGTCCCATAAATTAGTCAAATGTCAATATTTTTGAATGAAACTTACTTTATATGAAAGGTAAGCCTAAACTACATATTATCTGTAAGTTATAGCTTTATATCTGTTTAAATGTGGATACTAAGGCGAAAAAACCACAAAAAATGAACTAAATTGCCCATATCTCGGTTCGCGATATTTGCGGAATTGATCTCATTAAAATTGTAACAACTCAATCAGTTTTCAAAATTTTTGCATGAAATTTTCGGAATCGACTCGAAATCGCATTTCCACCTTATTTTAAATACGGATTTTTGATTTAGGCCTCCAAAAAAATTTGGCGGCCAAATTCTGAATTTTTGTGAGATAATTTTGGAATTTGGCCGCCAAATTTTTTTGGAGGCCTAAATCAAAAATCCGTATTTAAAATAAGGTGGAAATGCAATTTCGAGTCGATTTCGAAAATTTCATGCAAAAATTTTGAAAACTGATTGAGTTGTTACAATTTTAATGAGATCAATTCCGCAAATATCGCGAACCGAGATATGGGCAATTTAATTCATTTTTTGTGGCTTTTTCGCCTTAGTATCCACATTTAAACAGATATAAAGCTATAACTTACAGATAATATGTAGTTTAGGCTTACCTTTCATATAAAGTAAGTTTCATTCAAAAATATTGATATTTGACCAATTTATGGGCCGAAATCTACCAAATTTGGTGCGTATGCCCAAATATGGGCATATGGTTTTTGGCTCATAACTCAGTCATTTTTCGTCCAATCTTGATGAAATTTCATATACGAGTTCAGGAGACCACTAGCTACAAGTAGAGCACCATAAACCTTGGTTTTGGGCATGTTCAGGGTATTTGGCTAAATTGGGCCTAATTTGGACCAAATATGGGCGTGGCTGCCCTGCGCGCACCGTTTGGCGGTTGGGGTCCGGGACCCCCTCAAAAGTTCGGTCACTGGTCTTAGTTTGTTGGTCAACTACTATCTCGAAATCAAGTTTCACAAAAAAATATCCATTGGCCCCCCCCCCCTTAAGAGGGCATACCCCAAAACAGTGGTTTGTGCCGTCCAGACCAAATGACCTCATAGGCAGTTCAGTGACCTTCTAGCGCACCGTTTCCACACCAAAAAAAAAGATTTTGAGAATTCCCATTTTTGTAATCGAGCATTTCCTGGTTAAGAGTGCAATTTTCGGAAAAAATTATTTTGTGGTTGAGACGCTATAAGTTAATTATTTCTTGCGGTATCGGGTTGAAATTTTGCTCGCCGTTTATTCACATCTATGTCAAGGTGTGTGTAAAATCTTGATATCGTATCTAAAATGGCTGGTGTGTTATGAATTTTTAAAGTCAAAAAGCTAAAATTGTCCTTTTTAGGCTTATTTTAACAAAAAGTCAGTCAGGGAAGATCGGATAATTTGATGCTTGACATCAAATTGTTCTCTGAATTCTGGCGCAGTTTTTGATGCCCTCAAATGTGATTTTTTGGCTTTGCAGATAAAAAATCACATTTTCTCCCATAACTTCAAAGGGAAGCATTTTAGGGTGTTTTGCTGTTCATAACTCATATATAAATGTGCTAGTTGCGGTTATTTTGCACCCTTCAAAAAGTCACTAGCACATTCCTATCAAAATTTTAGAAAAATCAGTAAATATTAAAAACGAAAAATGTGGCTAAATTTGTTGTTTGGCTTTGAGGTCCAATAGATCAGAAGGTGAATGAGTAAAAACATTTTTGAGGGCATCAAAAACTGCGCCAGAATTCAGAGAACAATTTGATGTCATGCATCAAATAATCCGATCTTCCCTGACTGACTTTTTGTTAAAATAAGCCTGAAAAGGACAATTTTAGCTTTTTGACTTTAAAAATTCATAACACACCAGCCTTTTTAGATACGATATCAAGATTTTACACACACCTTGACATAGATGTGAATAAGCGGCGAGCAAAATTTCAACTCGATACCGCAAGAAATCATTAACTTATAGCGTCTCAACCACAAAAAAATTTTTTCCGAAAATTGCACTCTTAACCAGGAAATGCTCGATTACAAAAATGGGAATTCTCAAAATCATTTTTTTTTGGTGTGGAAACGGTGCGCTAGAAGGTCACTGAACTGCCTATGAGGTCTGCCTATGAGAGAAAATGTGATTTTTTGGCTTTGCAGATAAAAAATCACATTTTCTCCCATAACTTCAAAGGGAAGCATTTTAGGGTGTTTTGTTGTTCATAACTCATAGATAAATGTGCTAGTTGCGGTTATTTTGCACCCTTCAAAAAGTCACTAGCACATTCCTATCAAAATTTTAGAAAAATCAGTAAATATTAAAAACGAAAAATGTGGCTAAATTTGTTGATTGGCTTTGAGGTCCAATAGATCAGAAGGTGAATGAGTAAAAACATTTTTGCGGGCATCAAAAACTGCGCCAGAATTCAGAGAACAATTTGATGTCAAGCATCAAATAATCCGATCTTCCCTGACTGACATTTTGTTAAAATAAGCCTAAAAAGGACAATTTTAGCTTTTTGACTTTAAAAATTCATAACACACCAGCCTTTTTAGATACGATATCAAGATTTTACACACACCTTGACATAGATGTGAATAAACGGCGAGCAAAATTTCAACTCGATACCGCAAGAAATGATTAACTTATAGCGTCTCGACCAACAATTTTTTCCGAAAATTGCACTCTTAACCAGGAAATGCTCGATTACAAAAATGGGAATTCTCAAAATCATTTTTTTTGGTGTGGAAACGGTGCGCTAGAAGGTCACTGAACTGCCTATGAGGTCATTTGGTCTGGACAGATTTGGGCTATGCCCCCTTAAACTAGTTTTATGCATGCAACTGTTATCTTCCCTCAACATGATCCGGAACAGAGATTAAAGTTGACATGCATCAACAAGATAAATACACCAAACACGTTCATTCATAAGGAACAACAACGTCATATGTTATAATTCGAGCGTGCTAAATCACTCTATACTCGATATTTGAGATTTTTTAAAAGGGTTGGAACCAACTTGAATCGATTTATTTTCGGACGCTCATTCCGAATCACCCCCCATGACATAGGGTTAAAATGCTCCCCTGGCGAGATATTGGCGAAAAACTGTCTCGATCACGTGATATGACCGTATAAGGAAGTTGGTCTAATATCTCGTTAGGGTACATGCTTTTGTTAGAGATTGGGTTAGGGTTGGGATCAGATTAGAGTGTAAGGGTTTCGAAAAGTCGATCAGGGCCAGCTAGAGAACGGGTTAAAAAAGTCACGTGACAGTCGAGTGTAGAGTGATAATCATCATCCATTACAATTGCAAATTTATTAAATATTGTTATCTGATAACACCATTTAAGTTTCCGACGATACCTGCAAATATTTGTGGGTATTTTGAGGGAGAGGTGACATATATTCCATCGCAAATTTAAAGCAATAATGAGATCTAAATTTCAAAATTTTGATCTCAAAATTTTGTATTCTAAACTTTGGAAATATTTAAATGAAAATGCGGATCTCGCGAAAGGATGAAAAAATTGGTATTGAACGATTGATTGGGGAGTTCACCTTTCTAAGTCCGATTCGGACTAGTCTGTTTTAGAAATGTCTTCAGTTATTTTTAAATCCAGGATGTAGACTTTTATTTCAATTTACGGTTAAATAGATGTGGATACTGGTGGGGAGGTGAAACACATTTGTTTACTTTAATAGTGAGCACATGTTCGGCGGGTTGAGGAGGTGAAACACATTTGTTTACATTTTTAGGGTAAGCACATGTTCGGCGGGTTGAAGAGGTGATACACATTTTGTATTATAGAAGGCTTGTAACACTTGTAACGCTTTCTTGTTACCCCCCTTTGAAGGCCCCGAATTATTTTCTGAACGAAACCTCAAAATTAACCGAGAAATCGACCTTCTTATTAACTCATTTTGATGACTGTTTCTGACCTAAAATTGCACGAAAAATCGATTTAGCTAGGTTTCAGAACCTATAAACACTTCCTTATCCCTCAAAATTGATGTTTTATAGTTGATACGAGCAACAAGCAACATATGTTTTGATCCTTCGGTTCTACTCATGACCTAGGCAGTTAAGCTGAACCCGACAGATCGAGGCAATCCTCACCTTATAACTGATCAAGCTGGTACTAACACAATTTTCAGATATAAATGTTCTTTGCGATACGTTTATTGCAGCTTTGCAACTTGAGTGAAGACCATGCAGAGTACGAAAACACACAGCAGGTAAGCAACTCACTTTTGGTGACTGTTCCTCACGAACATTCTGATCCTGTAACATATGAACAGGGAGATCGTCTCCTTAACAAATCGTACAGGTACTATCACAATTTCCAGAGCACAGCATGATAACAAAGTCAAAAGAAACACAATGAAGGTAGGTTACGAACACCACAATATAACAATCATACTAACAACTGAATTAAATTTATTCTGACGACGGGCAGCCCTGATGTTCTCCGTGATCCTCAACGAGCGACCACTTGTAATAGAGGTGTTATGTCACGTGACACCGATCCGTCCAATTACAAACAGGACGAGTCAGCAGACGGATATTATATCTTCTGTTTACCTTTCTTATCTGTATTTGACCCTTTGTTCACATTGTTTTCTCTACCACAGCTTGGAAATTTTAAGGTGCTCCTATCTGCACCTCAGTACACACGCCATGATTACGTCATGCAGAACTAGAAATTGTGTAATCCGTGATCGTTATAATGTAACCGTGACCACAGCCCATGGCCATGTACAATGCAAACTGTTGGGGGGGGGGGGGGGGGGGGGGGGGGGGGGGGGGGGGGGGGGGGATTGTAGGAACTTATCGTCCAGTCATGAACAGAATATTAACATAATTTTTTTAGATATTTAAGTAGACCTGGTCATTTTTAAAAAATCACTGTCAACCTCCCTTAAAAAAACAGGGTTCAAGTTGACAATGAAGTTGGGCACACACAAATGCGATGTCGCTCAGATAAAGCAACATCTTCGCCACAACTTTGTTTCCCAAAACTTACACTTATAATGGCTGTAACATTTGGCGCCCGACTCAATGTTGGACGGAGCTTCAATTGGGACCTGTGGATTGTAGGAACTTTCAATTACTACAGCTGCAATAACAAAATTAAATTTTGAACATCACAATTCGCACCCGCCGTAATTGTACTGCTGTAGAGAACACCAATTCACTGGTCACGTTCAAAGCGAAATATTGTGTCAACTTATTTGCTGTGACTTTCATAAGTTAAGCAAAGGAGCACTCATGGATATATGCATTATTCCTTTGATTCCAGTTGGTGTAAACTTAAAGCACAGTTCATCATTTGGAATCTCACTCAGTTCATAATCGCGACCTCATATTAGAATAAATGTTTTTAATAATACTAATCTCCGCAATTGAACAATTAAACCGAAACATGCTATAACTAAACAAAGTTAATGTTCCGTTCATGATTGAACGGTTAGCATCACAGTCAGTTGGAGGAGCGACCAACACACTATCAAGATCGGTTGTTTATCTTAACCCCCCCCCCCCCCCCCCCCCCCCCAACAGTTTGTTGTATTGTACGTGGGCAATGGGCACGGTTATATAAGTACAACAATCACACTATTTCAAGTTCATGACTTTATCATGGCGTGTTTACCGCGGTGTAGATATTGCACGCGGACCTTGCCGAGCCGAGATGTGGTAGATATAACAATGTGAACAGAGGGTCAAATAAAGATAAGGAAAGTAAACACACGATATCGATCTGCTCACTCTTCCTGTTTGTAATTGGACGGATCGGTGTCACGTGACATAACACCTCTATTACAAGTGGTCGCTCGTTGAGGATCACGGAGAACATCAGGGCTGCCCGTCGTCAGAATAAATTTAATTCAGTTGTTAGTATGATTGTTATATTGTGGTGTTCGTAACCTACCTTCATTGTGTTTCTTTTGACTTTGTTATCATGCTGTGCTCTGGAAATTGTGATAGTACCTGTACGATTTGTTAAGGAGACGATCTCCCTGTTCATATGTTACAGGATCAGAATGTTCGTGAGGAACAGTCACCAAAAGTGAGTTGCTTACCTGCTGTGTGTTTTCGTACTCTGCATGGTCTTCACTCAAGTTGCAAAGCTGCAATAAACGTATCGCAAAGAACATTTATATCTGAAAATTGTGTTAGTACCAGCTTGATCAGTTATAAGGTGAGGATTGCCTCGATCTGTCGGGTTCAGCTTAACTGCCTAGGTCATGAGTAGAACCGAAGGATCAAAACATATGTTGCTTGTTGCTCGTATCAACTATAAAACATCAATTTTGAGGGATAAGGAAGTGTTTATAGGTTCTGAAACCTAGCTAAATCGATTTTTCGTGCAATTTTAGGTCAGAAACAGTCATCAAAATGAGTTAATAAGAAGGTCGATTTCTCGGTTAATTTTGAGGTTTCGTTCAGAAAATAATTCGGGGCCTTCAAAGGGGGGTAACAAGAAAGCGTTACAAGTGTTACAAGCCTTCTATAATACAAAATGTGTATCACCTCTTCAACCCGCCGAACATGTGCTTACCCTAAAAATGTAAACAAATGTGTTTCACCTCCTCAACCCGCCGAACATGTGCTCACTATTAAAGTAAACAAATGTGTTTCACCTCCCCACCAGTATCCACATCTATTAATCTAAGATATAAATGATGAGTTTGAATGTAAGATTAGGCTTTTTCAGTATACCATGATTAAATTTCGTTTAATAAAGTCTATAATTTTTCACGGATTTAACAATACTAGCAGATTGCCCGGAGCCTCTTCGAAAATCACACTAAAGAAGTGTTGTTAGAACTACGAAAACTAGAAGAACCTTACAAAATGTTTCTGGACTTTGTACGTCCTCCAGATCGAATAAAAACACGCAAGCAATTAAATCTACAAGAAGAACTTGTTACTTAAACCATGACAATTAACTTATCTGCAATTTTATAAAACCACTGACTGAATGTAACACTGTAACTTGCCAAAAAATATGCGGGTATTAAATATTGAATGAATTTAAATTGTGACAGAATTTTCTACCAACACATTCATTTTTTTGGTTTTACACTTTCATATTTTTCTATGATAATTGTAAATTTGTCAGATGATTTAAGATACTTATTTTGATTGGGGACCGCACTGGTTTTTGGTACACCGGCAAATTTTTACAAAAATCATATGATACATAATTATAAGTATAGACAGTTTTTGGGTTTTCCAAATAGTTTCTGATTATTCTGATTTGCGACAAATGATATTGCACTGTTAGGATAAACGACGTTTCAAAGTAACAACTTCTTATTCATGCTCAAATTATTTGTTATATAGTAGTGTTGAAAGTATTAAAATGATTTAAGATACTTATAATTATAAGTCATAACAATATAATTTTATCTAACATAAGTGAAAATGAGAGTTGAAAATTATGAGTTATGACGTAACCTTTATCGTTTATTCTTTTTAAGAAAACCAACTTTAAAATTAAAACTTGCATATCATGATTTATTTATTTACTAGATTTATTTATTTACTAGATAGTTAATAGTAAGTTAATATGTCTAGTCCTGTCGTGTATATCAAAATTTGCACCTTTAGTCCTTTCTCCGTTCCACGACATCTTGTCCAGTTAAATAAAAATTTAGCATAAACTACATATTCTCTGCTGTTTGAAGCTCAATATGTGTGGAAATGTGGATACAAAATCCAAAAAAGGACAAAACATGCACCCAATTATATCAATATATTCACCATGGTATTATGTGAACAATACATTTTGCCTCGGTGTAAATATTTCACCAAGTAGATTCTCACCATTGTAGACACTTAAAAAAACGAAACTCCCGTATAAATGACTATACCAGTCCCCCCGCCCCCCCCCCCCCCCCCCCCCCCCCCCCCCACATATCAATAAAATATAAAATTCTTATTTATACCTGCTGAATTTTCACTGCTTCGATCCGCGTGTTTGTCCTCCTGAAATTGAGCATCTATCAATGATCATAGATCGAGAAGTTGTCAACTGATCGAAATGACGCGACTTGCGTGCAAGATTGGTCTACGCGGCGACGTGCGTGCATGATCGACGATCGATCGATGCGACGTCGCGTATATACGTGCGCGCATGGTCGGAGTTGTTTTTGTCGGATATGTACGATGACAAAGATGTACCGCGCGTTACGACGTATGCGCTTCAAAACTGTGACTGAATAAAAGTGCCAATAAATTTAATACCGATTCATGCGTGCGCAACGTAACTTTAAAAAGCGCTTTATTACAAATAACAAAAGAACAACAAATTATGTTCGGCTCACTTGTTCTTTAGATTTATCAGGACAAACAGATTCCTTGCTCAGCTTATGTAGTTTTTCATTTCCGTTCTCCGACTGTAGTTAAAAATGTGATTAGTCACCAGGTTATGTTAAAAAATATCAACTGGAATATTTGGCCAAAATCAGTCAACAAAATTGTCTTGGCGAAGATTCAACAAATTTAATTGGCTTACCTAAATGATGGTGAGAGTACTGGCTTACCTCTTGATCTATTTATCGTTTGAATAATATCACCGACTGGTATAGGCTCGAAACATAAAAATAATATTTGCGTGAATTTAAAGTAAAGTCAATTTTAAGTTGATCGAATTTTATAAGCTAAATTCCAAAATTCGCTTCTGCATGGCCTTAATAAAAAGCTACAGATGATAAGTATGTAATTACCTGTGTTTTAGATGCACTCGGAGTTTCTGTATCATCTGGATCCGAAGGGTCACTCTCATAGTTATAATTGGATAACAGTCCCAAACCCGACATGGAACAATCCTTAAAAAGAGTTTTCATCAAAAAAAAGTTATTATTACTACGTTACTGTAATAATTCTATACTGCATACTAATGCAAAATTAAGACGGATGAAAAAGTGATGACTTTTTAATTTTAATTTAACGAAGTAAAGTCATTGATCTACTTATACTCTAGTAATTTATAATCTATAATGAAACTAATGTTACAGTATTACATGTTTATTAAATATTCTGAAGAGTTCATATTTCAATACATAATACTTTGACAGTGCCAAATTAAATGTATAAATTATAAGTATACCTAACACACAGCTCATCATCTTATAAACAGCGATACGTATCTAACACATAAAGCACTTATAAATAGTGACGACAGATATAATATCGTGATGTTCGGTAGGCAATAATTTGTGAACGAACCCCCAAATTTCCGGTAAACCATTGCCATCATGGATAATGGATAACACAAACATCCTAAAACTTCAAAGTTCATTGAAGCCGTTATTACAAAATCAGGAAAGACCATGTAAGTGACCCAATGATTTTCATTTCATAAACATTTAATACAAGATGGCGTGCCCCATTCGAATATTTGAGCACTACATCAATTGCTATTTAAACTTAGATAGAAAGTGGATGTTTCTAGCATAAAACTCATTATATAACTCTGTACAAATAATATTGCTATTTAATAAGACTAATTTTTCCACAGTACTCAATCCAAATTCCTAATTGTTATCTCTTTCCTAATTGTTATCTCATTTTGAACCTCAGGTTCGAGTATGCGGGTCCTCGGGATATCAAGTGAGAACCAAACCATACTTAAGATAAAATTAAAAATTTATTTACACACAATGTTTAACAAATTTCAAACTGACAATCAATCACACATTATATTCTTCAATCATCATATTAAAACTTTGTCCGCGACAAAAGTATAATTTAAAAATGTACCGTTAATATACAAACGATGACGTTCTTGAACCATCTCAATTTAAGTGTCATTTCTGATATTATGATGATAAAAATTCAGAGCCATTTCGGTCTGTGCAGAGGGGGCGGGTGATTACAAGAGAAAAATTCATGCTTCAAAACTTGTTCAGCAGTTATTCTTGAGTTGGGGTTAGGATCAAGGCAGCGTGAGAGAAGATCAAATGCAGAATCTTCAAAAGGCTGCAAAGCGCACGCCTTACTCCGGTCTTCCTCCACATTGTTCGCATCACACCTCTCACACCTAGAGATGTGACTACTCTCCCTTAGTCTCGTACACATCTTCTTAAGCTCCCACCCAGTCACCGACTTGGACAGGGTCACCTGCTTGCCAATGCTCTTAGCAGCCGCAATTATCATGTCGCTACCCAGCAGGGTGATAATCTGACATAGCGAGGTCAGATCGTCAGCAGCTTTAAAGAAGGGGTATCTCATACTCAGGAGACTAAGGAATATGACACCAGCTGCCCAGATATCCACAGCAGTTGTCTGTTGGGGGTGTTTCATTAGCATTTCCGGGGATCTGAAGCCTGGTGTACCCGCACGGGATGCTTCCTGGCCTGGTTTTAACAGACAGGTGTTACAGATCTCATTACCTGCATGGGCACATTCTCGTTTGGACGATTTGGAACTTGATGATTTGGAGGTTTTACTGCTTGAGTTTTTGGAGGAGTTCTTGGACATGCTGAAGAAACTCTTCTTCTTTTCCTGCACTCTGGGACTCCTGTCTCTCAGAATGTTGGGTCTCTGTGATCGTTGGTTCCTGTCAAAGTTTGTCAATTCATTCTTAACATTGTGATCGTGCTTCCGTTTGGTATTTTGTTTATTTTCCTTATCTTCAACTACCATGTCCTCGGCCAGCCCGAAATCCACCAGAAGAAACTCCCCTTTCTCTCTATCATACAGAAAATTACTAGGCTTGATGTCTCTGTGAATAACGTTGAATCTGTGAACATGGGCCAAAGCTTCAAACAAAGCTTTCAAATATTTTTGTATTTCCCACTGGTTTGAATCCTGAACGACTTTCAGAAACTTGGTGGCTTTAAAGTAGGGCAGAACCAGCACCACATTATCCTGGTGCCGGATGATGCACTTTATATCGCACACGTGGTGCTTCCCTCCCAGTCTCTTCAAGTACCTGATCTCATTTGTGATCCTCCAAGAAGCCGATGTTGGAATGATGTACTTCAAAGCAAATGATGCTTCCGAAGCGATATTTTTAGGCTTGCCATGAAACACATAACTAAACGTTCCGTCTCCCAAAACATCTATAATATCAAAGTTTCTCTCAACTTCTGGGACTCGCTTGAGGAAACTGGTGATGCAGCTATCAGAATCGTCGCTGGGTTCGGTGTTTCGTTTCCGTTTTTTGGTGACAATGCTCGGTTCTGGTTCAGGGGCTGGACCATGACTTGATTTGGAGTGAGCTATTGACGCCGTCGCTGATTCACTGTGTCGTGAGGACATTGGTCCTGAATTGGGAAGGTTTAGAAAAATGCTGAATGAATAGCAAAAGTAACAATATAGCAAATTTTAATTTTAATTCATCGAGGTATATACTGTCAATCGAATAGATCTTTGTGCAAGCAAGTAAATCTACATAATATGGTCATGTCTATTGTCACAGTATGCATATCTTTTAAAATGTAACGATACGACTGGGGTGTTCTTATTTTTTATATCTCATATCGTCACAATGTTAACAAATAAACTATAAGAATAAACGTATTTTTAAAATAATTTACCACGCAACGAAAATACAAAATATTAAAAATCCTACATAATTGACAGTAAAGCATTAGTTTTAATAATTAATGAATAATTTAGAAGTACTAAAACTTACAAAGTATAAACATCTAATCACAACAGCTATTATCATATTCATCCTTAACTTCCACTTTTGTATGACCCGTGGAATGTTCTGAATCAGAAAGTGGATTTAAAACAGGAACTTTTCTCTCCAACAAATGCGCCCCACACTTAGCCAGGGAATCTGCCATGTCATTTCCATAAACAGAAGAATGTCCCTTAACCTTAACCCACCTCACATCAATATAACAACACAACCCGTCCAGTAAGGCGAACATGTCCCTGTTTTTCACTGCATGATTGCCAGCTGTTGTCCAGTTATTCTTCCTCCACCTCAGTATCCATTCTGTCATACCACTGATAACATACTGAGAGTCAGTCCTGATCTCCAGAGCCTCGTAGTCTGACTGCAGCGCGGTCTGCACGGCTCGTACAATAGCCCACAGTTCAGCTCTCTGGTTAGTTTGGGAGCCCCACAGTCTCTCTATGACGTTTCTAGGGTCGTCTCTACCCCAGAATACACCACATCCTGCCCTTCTCTCGGTCTCAGCTAACATGTTGTTTATACAGCAGCCATCAGTGTACACTATTGGTACTCCTGAGTTTGTGAACGTCTCTCCTGTCTCTTTGTTTTGAATTTCTTTCTTGGGCCGACCTCTTGAATTGCGTGAAGAAGGAGTTTTCCCGATTTTTCGTTTCCGTTTGGAAAGCTTCTCTGATTCTAATTCGATTGATTTAATAATATCTTCTTCAAATTGTTGTAAAGAGAACTCGTCATCAAGATCCGTATCATCAGAATATTTAACCTGCTCCTGCGACTCAAGCCGCGCACTTTTCCTCGGAGTCTCGTCTATTATATTATTTGACGAAACATGCTTAGGAGCACGGTACAGAGTTACATCTTCTTTTGAAGGATTACAAAAGGTCGTGACAATATCATTCTCACTGGTCATGAGGCAGGTATCTCCAGCTGAAGTATCGTCTCCTTTCTCTCCTCCTGTTGCAGATATCTCCTTTTCCCTCATCTCCTTAGCCACAGCTTGCTTCAAAACCTTCTCGAACAACTCAGACCGCTTCTCATGTTCAGCTACCTCCGTGTGGCGCGCGTGGAAGTAGTAGAAGTACGCCTCGTCATAGGATTGGAACTTCTTGAACCTTCCGTACGCGTATCCGGTGATCTGTTCCAGGACCCTGCTGTAGTCTTTGTAGATACCCGGGGTGTAGCCGTGAGTCACGACGTAGTACCCGGGTTGTTTTTTGGGCGGCATTGTGTACGGACTTTCAGTGATTTCACCTGACAATAACCGTGAAAATATCCGACATCGGGAGAAGCTGCGGGCTAACATTCAGAGTGCCGCCATATCTGTAGAGTAGGATTAGGTTAACAGTGAACAAGATTTAACAGTTAATTTAGATTATGAAAATATATGAATATTGATAATATATCAATGTTTCTTAATTTTACCATACTGCGCTTTAAGTTGAAAAACTAGCGAGTGATAACTGATAACCAGGGCCAATGGTTTAATGAATGAAAACGCAAAGCCCGAACATAAAACTCTAAGCGTTTATACAATCATGAATCATGAACTCTACAAGCTTAATAAATTAATCTATTATAAGGCTATAAATACAAAATAAAGATCACTTAAAGATACATATAATAAAAAGAAGCTCTGACTCCAAAGAAGGGATGCTGGCGACTGCTCACGAGGAACTCGTTTTCGCAATATTCTTAAGTTATGTTAAGTATGTTTTCTATTTATAGCTTAGTCCAGCATTATGATTCATAGCTTCGCTCTCGGCTTTGGCTCGTTGCATAATTGTCTGATTTACAACTTTTAGGCCGTCTTGAAATCTGTCCATACATTTTGCTATACACTGTCTTTCGCCGTTACCTGAATTGAGAATATATTATCATCACAACACGTACATTATGCAATGAATAGAATTTTACGAGTATGAAAATAAACAATTTATTAGAAGTTCAACTTACAGAATACTCATGAAGTTTAATAACAACTTAAAACAACTAAGAGTAAAGTGATATAATTTACCTAACGGTGACGACGTTGGCTTATAGATACACCGTTCGAAACACTTTTGATTCATAAACTTCACGATGTTCATCTGACTTTCAAGTTGAATTGAAGTTTCGATAGCGGTTATTACGTCCTGCATCTTTATCGCATCTGACGGGTGAAGAGAGGAGGTACCGGATGCACTCTGACCAAATGAGTCGTAAGATTCAGCGTTCATATTTGTAGCTAGAAACTAGAGAGTTTGTGTCATTAGACTGTTAATTCTACGATTTTATAACTAAATTATCAAGGTGATAGTAATTGAAATGGTTAATTTTTAAAGCTTTGTACGTTTGGCAATGATTGATTAATAAAACGACGGTCAATGTTTGGTTAAAACTGGGTCAAAACTTAAAACAACTGAATAAAAGCAGTAAATAAATTAAACGTAAAAACACCCATAAAATTGTTATTACTTCTCAGTCACGTTAAATCAGTACTCAACGTATGCATAAAAAGATAAGCCTCCTTAAAAAGATAAGCCTCCAAGATAACATCTTCATCAGCGTTAAGCGACTTCTTTGCAGACATCGTCTTCTTAAACCTCTGGTGCAGCTTCAGCTTCTTTCTCAGTTGCCTCAACATTTTTGCTCTCTTCACTCTCTTTCTCCAGAGCTATTTTCTCTAAAGCTATCCTAGCAGCTGTCTCAATCTTCTTCTTCCGGTGAGTCTCCATTGCTTCCAACTTCTTCAGTTCCCTTTTAGTCATCAGAGGCTCCTGACCTAAAATCAGTCTGAAATGGTTCTTCTCATCCTCTGTGATGTATGCCTTCACACCACCATCCGTACAGTATACACATGAATAAATAGCTGGAACATTGCCAGAGGCAGGTAGATAAAACAAGATAATACCTGTTGGAAGGTCGTTGACTTTCTCTAACAGATCTGGTTTAAGTGTGTGTTTAGCGACACCTGTATCCGGTCCCAGCACCTTGATCATGTCCTCTAAGGAAACCTCAAAGATTTTAGCACCCATGAAATCAGAAGTAAAATGTGCTCCCTCTTGTAACAGCCTGTAAGGGCATTTACTGAAGGCTTCTTTGCAATATGAAAACAGTCTCAGACCACAATTAATGATTTTGATTTTGTTTTCGTTCTGCTGAATAATGTCTCTTAATCTGGAACAAGCCACGGATAAATTCCTCTGTTTTGCAGTTTCCCCAACCTTTGAACGAGCAAATATGTTGCCAAAAGGAAACGAATCGGAGAGCTGGTACCATTCCTTGAGTACTTTGAAACAGTCGGCATCTGGATTCAGGAAGAAATATGGGTCTTCTTTATAGCCATGATATGTTTTCCATGTCATTTTATCAACCAAAACGTTCGTATTTTTATGAAAGTTATCGCTGAATGGACCGAGAGCTTTAGCTTCCCCGTTCTTTTCATCAGCGGCAATTTCTGCACCATCAGGAGTTGACTCAGCAGGAGTTTCTTTTCTTTCAATGACACAGATAAAGAAACCCCCAGTATTCTGATCATGAGGATACACCCTCATGCAGTGCTGCAAGTTGTGCTTCTCAGCATCAGTCGGGAACATGGTAGGTGCGATGGACTTCAGGTGTTTGGGATTAGTGATGTCCTCAAACTTCTCGTACCACGTACCGTTATTGTGCATCACTTTCCACGTGGTGATACCAGGTCGTCTCTTCAACTGTGGGAGGAATCCTTCAGAGGGTACCAGCCTAAAATCAGGTCTATCTCGCAAAGCACTGAGAACAGTAGCCTCGTTCTCTATTGGATTCAGAGAACATGTTGAGTACACAATACGTCCTCCCTCCGCCAACATGTCCATTCCTCGGAGCAGGATTCTCCGTTGTAGCTTGTGGATTCCTATTGCTTGAGCTTGCTGCCATTTCTTCCAGATGGCATAGTTCTTGCGGAGGGTTCCGTCTCCTGTACAAGGGACGTCACAGAGGATTCTATCGTACTTTAAGCTCACCAGACTGCCCTTATCATCGAAAACCTTGACATTCGGGAACCTGGTTGCGTCTTCATTAGTTATCATGAATGCCAGAGAGTTGAACCTCTTGGTTTGGGTAACCAGCATGTAACATCTCTTATTGTCTCCATCATTTGCTATGACTAGACCTGAAGGGTGAGGACCGTCCGCATGAAGCGCCTCCAACAGCTGTAGAGTCTTACTACCCGGCGCAGCGCACATGTCCAGAACAGTGTGGTGAGGCTTCACATCCAGAACTAGAGGTGGAATCATACTGACAGCCTCCTGTCTAGCAATACTCCCTCTCTCCACCTCAGAGACAATGAACTGGTGAAGGGAGAACAGCTCCTCGCTGTGTCTCAACATGGGACGAGACATATCCAACTGCCAGGCTAGCCCTCCCGGGTACCAGGAGATGTTCTCTGGGAGAGGACATGGTTTTCCTTCTATCATTACACCCTTTAGTTTGGAGAAGTGCTGCTCCTTCATGATGTTATTCAAGGGGATACTGTCACCCTTGGAGTTGACGACTCTAAAAGTAGCTGGCAGATCACTCCTCATAGTTGACATGAACGAGTCCCATTCGTCGCCCGGGAAGAGCCCCAGAGCCTGGTAATACATCTCAAACTGCTCGTTTGACTTGGTGATAGGTTCCCAGTCTCCTCTAACACCAACTGTTGCCGGATCTACCTTCGGTTTTTTGTTAGGACGGTTCTTGTCATCAAGAAACTCCTTTCGGTTCTTCCACTTGTTCTTCTTTTTCTTGTTTCTTCTGTTGTTAGGTTGTTCTGGAGTGGTGGTTGGAGCCTCCCTTTTACTTCCTGGTTCTACGTCTGCCATGATCAACCTGCAGAGTTTTGCAACATGAGTGATGAGACACATTTATTTAATGTATATGAGACCTATGTTTTATAGATTTATGCCAAATATGTTAGAATTTTAGTTATGGACTCAATTATTATATGCATAGAAATAAACATAAGGCAAATTAACTTAGTCGAACCATGTAAATTCTAAACTGCTATCGAGAGATAAGCATTCAATATCAGTTACATTTTAAAGTTACTAAACAATATTAAGTGATTATGCGGGTATTCAATAACGACACATCGCTCCACATAACAACATTAAAGATCTGATATTTACATCAATAATCCCGATACAATTTCATCAAAATTCAAAGAAAGCAAAACAAATTCTAATATAAAGGCAAAACAATTATTTGACATCAAATTATCTCAACAAACACGTACGGTAAAATGTTTAAAATGTTAAAATCTTCGGAATACCTTCAGCATGCGTATCAAAACAATACAACGTGACAAAAAAGAATCGGCTATGTTATTAGATGCTTTCAATTCAATCAACTACAAAACATAATCAGATGTGATTTTAACAATTGTTTTCAAATGTGATTTAATTTTTACATAATTTACAAATTTAAATCTTACTAGAAAGTCTGAAAACCACTAAAAATCAATCTGAATAAGGATTTTCCTTGCGGCTGCGCACTTGCAATCTACTGTTCAAATTAACAATTATGCGACATTACCATATTATGTGAGAAACTACGAGAACAACTGTTCGACCCGTTCGAGTGGAACTCCCCTTGTCTCTGGCAGTTTGAAGTAGAAGATAATCCAGCCTACCACTGTTATACCTGTGTACAGCCAGAATGCTCCGTATCTGAAAGTGTTTTTAGTTTTTGTGAGCTTTTATGAGTTTTACAAGGTGATTTGTCAAGTAGGCATCAATAAAAACTCCGGTTTGATAAACAACGTGCTATTTCAAAACGTTAATTTAAAATTTATTCAGGATCGTCTGTCTTGTGTTTATATCATGTTTATTATGGTTGATTAAGAAATTAAAAGGACACATACTTGGTAAGGATCCTGGTAAGATCAAGGAAGGTAAATGCGATGAGAAGGTTGAAGAGCCAGTTAGTCATAGTAGAGATCGAGAGCGCATAGCCTCTCACCCACATAGGGTAAATCTCCGAGTTTATTGTCCACGCTAGGGTCCCAATTCCTGGGAGAAAGTGGTCATGTGGTTGGTCACGTGGCTGGTTACAATTATATGTGGGACACGACAAAATGTTTAGGAATATTGAGACTTCAAAAGATTGAAGTTATCTTGGCGAAATTACATTATATGACCACGCAATATCCCTCCTACCAATTAAAAGAATGAGAAAAAAAAAGAAAAAAGAAAATCTCACAGAAGATGAGATTAAAAGCATACTACAATTCAGTATGTTAGATATGTTAAACATGTTAACGAACCTGTAGCGAACATGGCGATATAGAAGACCATAGCGGCGATGATGGTCCAGCTATACGGGCTGTAACACACATCTTGCGCCCTGTACTTTATATCTGGTTCTGTACAGTTATCTGATACTGTCGGCAAAATACACCGTCCTTCAGAACTCCTGGATACGGCATGTATTACAAAACAGAGGGAAAATGTGACTAAATAATTAATGATCAGTCCGTCAGTCGCTGGGTATGATTTTCTACAGAGAAAGAGCACTAGAATAACACCACACTGTCTGACGTATATATAATAGGTCCAATAGATATAGGTTCAAAAGCGAAAATGTAGACAAAACAGTTGTATATAATTATAGTAATATATTTAATCTCAAATTTATATCTAATTAAACCTAACTTAATTAAGCCTCAACTCCAAACAATCAACTCACTTGTCCGTCGAACAGAAGACACAGTCAGAGTTAGAAACACAAGCCCCACAGTTCAATATGACGGTGCCACTCCCTGGGCAGGTACTGTTTGTACTGGTCACCAGTGCTGTTGTTTTACTGATGCTGAAGTACGCTCCACCCAGAAGTGCCAAACCTTATGTAAAAATTATTTAAAAAATTATAGGTGATTAAAAGGGGGATGGATGCGAGAATTAAATATATTTAAATTAAGGATTCATCGAAGATTTCAAGAATCTATGGTCATGGTAGGAACGTTTCTGTCCGAGATTATCTTACACCAACTGTGCTTTACTACAGCAATTCAAATAATTATCAGTGAAGAGGTAAAGAAATTTCAATATATGAACCTATTATTGTCCCCAAAAGAGTTGAAAGAAGCAGCTTTCTCCTTGGCACCTTCTCTATTATCACCATCGACACAAAAGCAAATAAAGCGTTTACAAAGGATGGAATACACGACAACCAGATAGCCAGAGAGTCATCCGAAATTCCCGCCATTTTTATCATAGTCGTGCTGTAGTACATGACAGTATTTATACCACCTAGCTGCTGGAATGCTTGCAATGCACAGCCGATTGCCATTGCTCTTCTCACTGGAGCACTGCGGGATATTTCCCGGACCGTATGAAGGAATCCGTTGCTACTGTACTCAGACTCCCTGCTCAGAGCCTCACCTATTTCTTTTAGTTCAGCGGATACGTCGTCGCAACCAGAGATCTTCTGCAGAGTAGCTTCAGCTTCTTTGAATTTTCCTTTTTGAATCTGTAAGTGTGTACTATGACGTGATGAATAATAATTCGATTTTTCTCAGATCGAAAATGACGGACTATTTATGGCTTGAAAGATAGCTAGAAATATGCTAGGGTGTTTGGAAGTTTGGATACTGGATACAACCATCAGATAAAGTTATGTTCTAAATCAACTTGAGAAACACAGCAACAAAATTAAGTAAATACTTTGACTAACGAGAAACCTAGCACTCTCAGGAAGCAACAACATTCCCAGTCCCATGATGATGCTGGGTACAGTTGCTATCCCTAACATCCACCTCCATCCCTCGTGTACCGTACTGAAAGCTCCATCCACCAGACTAGCTGTGAACTGTCCCCAACAGACTGTTGCCCCGAACGCTGTCACCAGTTTTCCTCTGTAAGCTGCAGGTGAGGACTCGGCTATGTAGGGCGGCACCACCATGGAAGCGAGCCCGACCCCCAGTCCGAGGACTACCCGTCCGATGATGAGCATGGTGAAGGTTTTAGCGCTGAACAGCAGGGCTGAACCCAGGGTGAAGAAGATGGAGGAGAGAATGATGGTGGGTTTTCTGCCCAATGTGTTGGAAATAGCACCTCCAAGACCAGCCCCCAGGGCGGCTGCTGCCACGGCTATACCCACTATCCATTCCTCTTGTTCAGGTGATAAGTTGAAATCTTGCTGAAAGTATACAATTCGTAATAGGATATTTTTAGATAAATTTTTCGTGAAAATCTTTTTAATAAAGAGAAAAATCTATAAATCAAAATTCTTTGGCTACAACTTATATTACTAATAATTACCACTAAACAAACCTTGAGTTTAATCAGAGCTCCACTAACAACCCCGGTATCGTACCCAAACAAGAAGCCCCCAATAGTAGAAACACCACACAACAAAACTAAAAACAGTGTTAGTTTGGGTTTGTTGGAGGAGGTTGGGTTCAGTAGAGATGCTTCATCTGTGAAGGATGCTTGTATCGAGCTAGAATCTGAGTTTTGATGTTCTGGTTCCATGAGGGAGGTTGTCATCAGGGGTTCAGGAGAGGGGGTGGTAATCAGGGGTTCAGGAGAGGGGGTGGACATTGTAACATTCCTGTATTCATCTAATCTGGAAAATGTTGTTGATGTGTCAAGCCTCAAGGGGTGTTTAATTTAATGAGGTATCGAGTTAGCGGCCTCTCAGTTAGATAGCGAAAATGGTGAGAACAATTTCACTTCATTTTTAGACATTTCTGTCATAATTGGCGGTGGTAATGCAAATGGAGATAGAAGAATTTCCAGGATAATGAGAGGATGACACTAGTGTGATGTGTCAAAAGAATGATATTAGCTAAGACGAGACTACGAATTATTGTCAAGTCTAGATATAATTATCTTACATATTGTAGTGACACTGTACTAGGTAAAGTTGAAGCGTTTAAATCTTAACATCATCAAATCAAAACAGTTCAAATGATACAAAGAACACCGGTTTAGTACATGACACGAAAAATTGGGTCTAAAAATACTTGATCGGTACATACCGATGATCGGATTATCATACATAATGATAAAATTAACAAAAGATTAATGTTTCTATTAGATAGCTTTTCCATTCAGTAAAAAAGCTTTTAATTTCAAACAATAAATTAGATAAATCAGGTAAAAAATCAATTTCATTGTATCCGAGAGCTATTGTGATCATTCATCCTAAAACTCTTTGCATTCTGTTTTTATGAACTCTGTGGAGGATGTAGGATATGTAGGATATTTCCTATTGTGGAGGATGGTGTCCCTTATACTCTTTCCCAATTACCCATCCCAACATTTCAACCCTGTCGTGTCCGAAGAACTTCTCTCTTTTTCCGGTTGTAGGGTTGGTTACCGTGTACCACGGAGCCCCGAAACACTTGGAATCTAAAGCTTCAGTAGTGTTGTCAACTAATTGCTGTTTGGCTTCGTTACAAGAACTGAATTCGATGAGTTTGTCAACATCAGGTATTTGAGCTGCACGAGCAAAGTGCCGTATGTTACCTTCGTCAGTTATGTCGATATCTCTAGAATACAAGCCAAGCCACGACTGCCTTGACAACTCTTCCAAATGATCAGGATATAGAATCTGGCAGGCAGCCAGAGTTTTCAGTGTTGGAAAAGAACCCCTTACTGCGGCTGCCTCTGCAAAGTTAGATGATGGTTTATACGGGAGGTCCAACATCTCCGCCACCATTTGAGTGTCGCGGTTCATGAACGAAAATTTGGAGGGATTCCTCCATGGACCAGTGTTGCCACTTTCGCTCATTATTTTCCAAATGTTCATGGGTCTGAGCTGTAGGTCGAGGTCCCAAGGTTTTTGATACCGGCAGAGATTTTCAAACCCGAACCAAGCATAGGGGGACAGAATATCGTAATAGAATTTTACTTGTGTACGAACTGCCATGACTGTCCAAAGGTTTTATGAGTTAATTCACGATGTTGGTTGTTTTGCAACACAGTAAATTTAATAACTATAATGCTGACTGCGGCAATGAGAATTTGAAAAAATCGATGAAATTAAAATTTTAATCAAATCTTGAAAAACTTCTGTTAATTTTACAAAAATCGTCTGAATTTTACATATTATTAAAAATTATATCAATTCAAGTATACTGATCGAGAGCAGATTGACTCAAATTTATAATCAACATCAGGGACTGTTGTTTCATTCGTTTCCGATTCTATTGTGAAGGATGATGTCCCACGTACTCTTTTCCGAGAACCCACCCCAACATTTCAACTCTATCTTGTCCAAAGAATTTCTCCCTTCTCCCCGTTTTAGGGTTAGTTACCATAAACCACGGAGCTCCAAAACACTTTGATTCTAGCGCTTCAGTAGTATTGCTGATAAGCTGTTGTTTAGCCTCGTTACCAACACTGAATTCCAGAAGCTTATCAACGTCTGGTATTTGTGCTGCCTCCGCGAACTGTAGGATATTACCCTTGTCGGTCATATCCATATCGTGAGAATATAAACCAAGCCATGATTGTCTAGTTAGTTCTTCCATGTTATCAGGGTAGAGGATCTGACAAGCAGCCAAAGTCTTCTGAGTTGGCAGTGATCCTTTGATAAACACGCTTTCCTCAAAGTCCTTTAGAGGCTTGTATGGAAGCTCCATCATTTCAGAAGTTCTTTGAACATCAGGAAAAAATAAGGATCCTTTAAAAACATCAGCACATGGACCTGGAGAAATGTTACCACTTTCCTTCTTGATCTTTCCCAGGTTGATTGGTCTTAGTTGCAAATCCAGATCCCATGGTTTTTGATACCTACAAAGAGCTTCGAACCCGAACCAAGCATAGGGTGAAAGAACATCGTAGTAGAACTTAACTTGTGTTCGAACAGCCATAAAAACGTTAACCCCAGGCTGCTAGATGAGGGTATTACTAAGTAGCTATAATCTCTCTTGATTTTTTATAAAGGGGAAGCAAAAAGTCGGAACTTTTGTGCCTGTACAGTGTACATTGTACAACCGAGCAAAACAGTTACACGGATCAATAATTATAAATCATATTGTTATGAAGATATTTTTAAAAGAAAACTTTCAAAGCCTCATCCAATAAATTAGGTTCATAAAACACTTATAAAATTTGTTAATTACATCATGAATTTATCGCTGTTAAAAATTTCTAAATAAGCCTTAAGCTTCTAATCATCTGAAAATTAACACGTACTATAAATGTTTGATAACTCATGCCATGGGTATAAAAAGGCCACTGCTAGATAGAAAAATATGAATTCATGCTTCAACGCAGTGATAGTCTGTAAACAGATTGAAAAATCGATGTTTAAAATTCTAAAACAGCAGCATTTACAATAGTAAATATTGTTTTTAATCTCGCACTATTTCCTATTGTGGAGGATGATGTCCCACGTACTCTTTCCCAAGAACCCACCCCAACATTTCAATCCTGTCACTTCCAAAGAACTTCTCCCTTCTCCCCGTTTTAGGGTTAGTCACCGTGAACCAAGGAGCTCCAAAACACTTTGATTCAACAGCTTCGTTAGTGTTGGTGATAAGCTGCTGTCTAGCCTCGTTACCAAGACTGAACGCCAGGAGCTGATCAACATCCGGTATGTTTGCTGCCGTTGCAAACTGTATAATATTACCCTTGTCAGTGATATCAATATCTCTGGAGTACAGACCCAGCCACGACTGTCTGGTCATCTCTTCTAGGCGGTCGGGATACATTATCTGGCAGGCTGCCAGAGTTTTCAGCGTGGTAAGGGAACCTCTGATAAACACAGTCTTAGCAAAATGTTCCAGAGGGTTGTAAGGTAGATCCATCATCTCAGAAACCCTCTGAACATCACGAGCTAACATTGATCCTTTAGAAGGGTTCATCCCCGGGGGAGTGTTCCCACTCTCCTTCATTATGATTCCCAGGTTCATCGGTTTTAGTTGAAGGTCAAGATCCCATGGTTTTTTATACCTACAAAGAGCTTCGAACCCGAACCAAGCATAGGGTGAAAGAATATCGTAGTAAAACTTAACAGGTGTTCGAACTGCCATAACCTGCAAGATGATATTATGTTATGAGTTGGTGATCATTACGCTGTAAAAACGCGACCATTACCTACCTCAATAGAACCCAATAATTTTTGGAAGGCGTTAAATTTGCTTTAGCTGTGTAGTACAGTAATTATAGAATTAAATCATGTTACATTATCGATGGAAATAATAGAAATTAAACGCATTGATTCTATTCAAATATTTTGTACATCAACTAGTACATATATAATTATAATAGTCGATAATAGACAATTCGGCAAGGGAACAAGTACGTGGTTACATACTACATAGTACAAATATAAGTAACCTTATAATAATACGTCATCAATGTAATGATAACCGACAAAAAGCCGTACCAAAAATGATACAAAGGAGCCAGCCTCAATTGCCCAGATTTTACAAATAGCACCCTCTACTAAGTGGTATTCCTTGTCCGATATATCAGGTAAACTTGTAGCAAAATCTAAACACAAGTTTAATTCCTCTCCTCTAAACTCTGATAGTACATCTGGCTGACGTCTGTCTGGGACACCTTTACCCAGCCGTCCTGTTTCATGTGATAAAGGTTGACCACACCACCGGACATGGCGTCACGATGTGCTGCGTGCATGATGGCCTTGCGTCCCAGGTCACAGGCGTCCTCAACAGACATCTCGTATTTGTAACCTGAGGGATATCGTGTACTTAGCATATATCTATAATGAACAACAGTCTGAGCAATCGAGATTTTAAAATGTGATGAGTAAATAGAGAGCTATAAACTGATTTTAGTACATTAAATGTTCTCATATTTTCGCCAACTTCAAAAAGACGTAACTACTTACCAGTGTCCATAACACCGTATGCGTAGGTAGACCCAGACCCAACACTGAACATGTAGTTGGTAGTTCTCTGGCCGTCACTGTCAACGTAGTACAGACCGGGTCCTCTCTTGTCCCATCCACACACCATCGTTCCCATAGACAGTCCCATACCTGGGGGTGGAGGAATGTAAAGGGGGGCGGGAGGAATTTAGAGGGAACATAGTTCACTGGTTGCTTTTAAAGATCTTATCATATAAATAGACTCGACTCAGCGCTTCAAGTCACATCTTCAGACAGCAATAACTCAAAGTCATTCTTGAAACTTTTAAAAGCACTTTATTTTCGCCTCAAAAGGAAGCTAATGCATGAGAACCCAGACCGTCGCGTGATGCGTGACCTTGTATTAAATATTCTCTCAAGTTTAAGTCAGAAATTACACGTCTGTCGTCTGATGGAATTGTACTTTAGGTTGAGGCCATGAATTTACAGAGACACTTTTAATACTTTTAACACTACTATATATATAATTATATATAGTAGTGTTGAAAGTATTAAAACAAATAAATATTAACAAATATATTATAACAAATAATCTGAGTTCTAGGGGATGTATTATCCAGGGTGCTTATTGAGTAAAGTGTTAGGAATGGGTCCCAATCCTAATTGATGTCTACAATTTAAAGGCTCTACTTTAATGAAAATAACTGCGGCGTCTTTATCGACCGCAAGCATCTAGAAGTTTACAATATAGATTACATTTTACAGCTACCGAGTTATTATTATAATAATAATCAACATAATTGTCTAGCCAGGGTTATCAATACTCCGCACCATGTTTTTGTTAATACCAGTAAGAAATTATTTACCGAAAGAGATCACATTATCACAAATATACCTAATTTATAAATGACACTGAGAACATCTTTAAACGATAAAGTATAAATATCGCATTTAACATAATTGTAACATGATGTCTTGTAACATGGCTTGCAGCAGCGAAAGAGGAAAAAGTTAGATACATTTCTATTATTATTGTATATACTCTGTTATATATTGTAGATGATTTTTAATCAAATTATTATTTATTATGAAATCAATAATGAACAAAACAAGGAAAGTTTTTTGAACAAATCAGTGTTTCCCGACCAGTCCAACTCTATACAACTATCTTTACATTAGGAAACATAATACGTTGAGTTTGGTTAAATAGCTTAATAATGTATTATTATATTAACCAAACAAACTCATTCCCACTTGACCTACCTTTGTACTGATAGACCATGTTGGAGAGAATCTTACTGGCAGCAGCCACACTGATCCTCTCTCTGTTCCTGAGCTGGTAAATCCTACACTGCTTCGCCAGGAGTCTCTCCCAGAAGGAGCAGTCAGCCGCTCCTCCAGCCATTGTACCGAGCAGGTACGGGTTTATCTCAATAACCTGGAGAGGAGGTCGAGTGTAAGAACTGGGTGGCGAGTGTGGTAAAAAATGATCTAGTGATCATCGATTTGAAAGTGTGATCATAATAGATATCATTTGGTATGACACCTCAAATATATAATAGTGTTTTACAATGGAGTTTGTGGGAAATGTATCCACAGTGATAAATTCCAATAGCATACCTTCTTCACGGTTTGAGAAGCAATGTAGCTACCAGCTGTAGCTCTGGAGTCCACAGCGACGATAACTCCGTGCTTGAACTTGAACGCCAATGTAGTTGTACCAGTGTGAAACTTTATCCTGAGTGAGTTAACGTTAAAAATCATCTCTGAAGTTAACTTTCCCACGTGTTCATGACTGTCTTGGTTCACGTTCTAAACCAAGTTATAACCTAGTAATATTACCAAATAACCATATTGAAACTGTTATAATAATCTGTACAATTTTAGAATTATCAGTAAGATAACACATTTTATATCTGAATATTTACTTGTATTGAATAATGCTAAGACGGGCTCGGATTGATCTACCAGAGTAGTCCCTCTAAAACTCCGTTTTAAAACGGGCCTCTATTGCATTGTAACACTTACAGCCTAGAAAACATTACACAATGTAGTGCCAGATGGTATACAATTAGTACACACAGTACGTGTAGAGAGTGAAGTAACCCTGATCTAAAACCGTCAGATCTTGTAAGAGTATATATCTAATGACATGTGACATGTGTCATGTGATGTGTGCCATGTGTTGTGAGGAAGTATTAACAGTAACTACAACCAGTCGTGTACAACAGCTGCCAAATCCAGAGTATGTTGCAACTAGTGGTTGCAACAAAGAGTGATCATCAGAGAGTATTGTGGTATTATATTATTATATTACCATGTTATATTTCTGACCACGTGATTGGTTAACAACCCACTCACTTGTTGTCAGCAGATGTTGTGTTCTGGAACTCATTAACGAAAGTAGCTGGGTCAGTGTGGGGCAGGTACTCGAAACTCTCCTCCTCCGGCATTACTCCTGTGTCAGTACTGAGCAGACTGCCACAGTCCATGCTCTGGTATGCTGCTGCTAATGCTGCCATTCTATTGTGTTGTGGTTAAGTAGAGGTGGGTACTGATCAATATTGGGGAGAATCGTCTTCAGGAGGAATACGCGTTGAACTAAGCGATTAAAATGGACATTTTTCAGATCTTGTTATTCAACAAATCAGATTCTTTAGATTGGATATGTAACTAAACAGCAGTTAGTAAGACAGCAAGTGTAGATTTAGGGTAATAAATAAATTAGAAGTGTAAAAATATAAATTAGCCTCAGACAGTAATGACGATGTAAACAAAATAAAACTAAACTTAATCAAGAGCCTCAAGTTACACCGCGCCGATCAATCCGTACATAATAATTAATATATAATCGAACCTTGATCTGTGCAGAAAATTTCGGAGGTCACGTCCGGACTCCGATCACGATACAATCCGTGTAGTACTTATCAAAATTCATCTCGTACTAGAACAGAAATCTGAATTCGCACAACAACCGCTAACAAACACCATGGGTGTATTCTAAAACGAAGCTAGACTATTCCTTGTACTTCTTCCCGAATATGCTTTTTCTCTGATAACGCTTCTCTGGCTCTGATTTGGGGACCCACAGTTTCTCGTACCTATTCGTATCGCTTCTTCTCGGCCGCAGGTGACGGGAGCTCTTCATGAACCTTTTCTGTCGTTTTTCTTCTCTGTACTCTAATCGGAGTGGCACAAAGTGAGGGATTTCTAGATCTGAGGATGGAGTAAAGTGTGATCCAACGCAGCTTAAAAACTTGAATTATAGCTTATAGTTTAAATGTATGTTTATTAACTTAAATAGGCTTTGAGGCGAGCTCTCACTTGCTATAACTAATCCAAAAACACCCATAAAACTAAAGAATTATAAACTAAAAACACAATTGACTCACTGGACTGAGGGTCGATAAGAGGTTCAGGTACTGGCTCCTGCAGTTCAGTCTGATCCGGAGTTAAGTCACGTACTGACTGTAACGTACCATAAATATCAGGGTCGTCCCGGACTTGGTAGCTGATCACCTTAACTGACTCAAGTAACGGCGAGTACATCGGAATGTAGTTCTCTACTCCGTAACCTGGGTAACGGGGTAAGGAGGCTGCAGCTTAAATTAAGGGTAATTAATTAATTAGGGTAATCAAGGGTAATTAATTAAGTGTTGTAATTACTTATAACGAGCATGACAGTGATTGGAGATTTGACAACTAAGCATGACTCGATAAAATATCATCACTAACCATAACTCGTTACGTTCTTCCTGATAATGAAGAATGCGTCCAGATCTTTGTGCTCCTTCTCGATAACCAGCCCACCGTACGTGACTGGCCGAGTCAAATCCCACTTGGACCTCAACTTGACCTCCACAAAACTGCCAACATTGACAAAGGGCAGGTCCATGCCTTGTCTCCGCTTCCACATCTCCCTTAGATCGTGGTACAGAACAAAGTCTGTTGGTTTTTGCATTTCTATTTTGATGATCTTTTCTCTGACCTCAAACTGGCGGGTAAAACCGAGCTCCTCCATCTCGTGTTGTCCTGGATCTTGTAGGAACATGGCTCTTTCGCACTCTCTCTCGAACATTACCTGGCGGAGTGCACCTTTAAGAGTTGTGCTTTGAAATTCAATATAATATTCAAGTTATATCAAGCGAATGTGCAAAAATAATTTAACAGCGTCTAGAATATTGACACCAAAATCTCCCTAACTCAATTTCCAAGCACTCACGCCAGTGAAATAAAATACCTTGCGTTGCCAATCATTGATGTCAAGATGTGGAAGGAAGTTAGGTGACAAAGCAGGGTAATCTCCTCGGAGATAGGACGCTACATTCCTTATGTTAGTTCCAGGGAACTCGAACACAAACCTCCTGCTCTCTGATCTGCAGTTGTCCATGACACTGGGGGAGGTTTAGGTGGTTATATTTTGGAAATGACAACAGGGAGGGCCAGGGGATTAGTGGATTGTAAGATTTAGAGGTCACCTCTAAATCTTACAATCCAATAATCCCCTGGCCCTCCCTCTCTAAGAGGTGATTGATTCATCATCGGATGAAAACTTTACCTGGGTTGGATTTCCTCTATGATATCATGCTCCTCCGAAGTGTGGAGATGATCTGAGGCTTCGAGATGATCCCGTGCATTTAGAGGTAACTCTGTGAGCCCTTCGCTCTCTGAAATATTAAAATTGCATATCAAATTAGCTAAAATATTACATTTTCATAAATTTCTTCCTTTAACTCTTTAAACAAACGTAGAAATATTAATGTTACAGATTTGAAGATATATTTACCATCATTAGTGGACAAGACGCGTTCAGAAGATAAACATCTCACTGTTATACTAGGTCTCAGGACTGAAATAATATCTCAACTAAGCAAAATTGTAACTTAACTCTATACAAATTTCAAAACTATGTAACATAAAATTTACTGGACTGACTGAGGAGTCTTACAAAAGGTATGAACTTTGCTGTTGCCTTGATTCTTGACAATCGAAACAAGAAACAACTAAATGATGAAGTAAAGTTGCAACTTACATTGTTTGAGGGGCTGAAGAAGAAGACGCCGTGTTACCACACTCATAGGATCTGCCTCAGAAGGTTTCTCACTATATTTTAAAACAGCTGCAGGAATCACATCATACAATTACCAGTGTTTCCTCCTAGAGTCGAATAGTTTAGTTTAGTTAATAGTTTAGTATAGTTTAGCTAATAGTTAGAAAACTTACATGACGTATGGTAAAAGGTTTTTGTTAAAAGTTGTTATCTTAAGTTGTGAATAAGGCAATTAATTGTTTGCACCACCGACAACGAAGCTAAGGTAGAGCGATTGTACCGATACACAGACAAGCAAACAAACAAACAAACAGACTAACAAACACACAGACAAACACTCAATATTTCCTTGGTCATTAAAATCATTGTTCATTACTCAAGAAGACAAATTTGATGTAAAAAGAACTTAAGATCTCAAAACAGAGCACTGTAAGTTATAAATTATAATTAATTGTATTATTATTGATGATCAACTTTTAACTTAAACTATCTTAAATTTTCTGAAAAATCTGAATAAGTTGTTGTGAACGCATATAATAACTAATTTGTGACAAGAACATTGTGGCCGTGGATAAAAGGTATAGTACATATTAAAGCTGGCATGAACCTTAAATTTACCGATTGGTACTTTGGTAGTGATATTGAAAGCTAACATTCGCATTAAATAAATTACAAACTCTACTATAACTCTATAAGTATAGCAATTTTATCCTGGTATCATCATTGTGAAGATGTGTGTAATGTCTACATAATCCGGGAAAACTAGCCAAAAATTATTGTCTGCTTCAATAAAAAGAGAAATATTAACACTTTTCCAGTTGCCATATCAAACTGTTAAAATTAAATCCTTCGCTCTAAAAATATTTTCCAGAATTTATGAATTAACAAGTCGTCACGAACAAAAGAGAGCTAATAACCATTAACATTCTCAAAATTCTTGTACTAAATCTAATACCGCAAAATAACAAATAGTATAACTACAATAACCCTATCAGGTGCAGTTTGCAAGAAATATAATAGTAACAATTCGTACATATTTATCCGAAGGTCCGCTGTTTTTATTGCCTTTAGAATTTAGATGTTATGTTATAGAACGAGGAGAAAAATGAGTGTATACTTATTGAATAATATATAAATATAAATATGATATTATGAATGAAAGTTTCTAGACCAAATCTGTAACATTTCTGGGCATATAACTTTATCAACACGAAATGTACTAAAGAAAACTATAATGGTCAGACTTAGTTCGATAAAGCCATGGAAAATAATGATAAATGTATTAAAATTCGGGAAGTACAGAATTTCGGGAAGACAGTACGAAAGTTAAGTCAGAAGGATTAAACCAACTGCCAGGGACATAACATGATGAGTAAACTGAACCTCATCCCTCCCTCCCCAGCCCCCCATCCCTCCCCCAACCAATAATTAAAGTTTCTTAACAAATCTCAAACGTCAGCTTGCTTCATCATAACGTCTGCTGTTAGAGTGTTACAGTAATACGGTTGTATCTGCACAATTTATCTATTTCTTGAAGCTAGTTTGGATCTCAGATCATTTGAAGGTAGCACCCTAGGTCTCTTGACTTGATTTGGTGAAAGTGAGCTCCTTCCTCTCCGTTTCTTCCTGTTTATTCCGGCACCGTTACTGTTGCTCAATGGTTGTAAGCTGTTGCTTACAGTTTGTATCTGACTACTGATTTTAGGGCCAGCTGAGCGAATTGGGCGCACTACAGCTACGGATTTACTCTTGGGTTTTCTCCTTTCAACGTTGACTGGGGGACGTTTGACACTGATGGAGTTTTTCTTAGAGTGTTTCTTCTTACTTTTCTTTACTACCTCAGTTTTCTCTTCACTCGAATCTAAAATGGAGATTCTGTGTTAGAATCCAAGTAATCGTGTGTTGCGTTAAGACAATTTAATTTTTTTCAACTGGTATGGTGGAGTGTGTCGACGCTAATATAACGTTTATAGCACCCATAATTTTATTGTTTGAAAGCACTAACTAGTTCTACAATAAACTACCTGAACTGGATGAGTCACTGCTATCACTACCACTACTACTACTATTGGAACTGCTTGAACTTCCACTGCTGCTGGAATCTGAGTCACTGCCTGAACTGCTATCCGAGGACGCCTCCGATGACGAACTGTGGACTATCACAGCTTTCTTTGGAGATTTCTTATCCACTGGCCTCCTTTCTACTGGTCTTCTCTCCATTGTAACCGGTCTCTTCTCGACTGTTCTCTCTTGTTCTTCCTCTACGTCACTAGATGAGGCTTCTGATTCCGAGCTGTTTTCTGATGAGTCGTTATCTTTCAACACCTGTAAACAGCACAGTTATAAAGTTCAGATAGCAGCATTTAAAGGTCAAATTATAGATAAGCCCTCATGAGAAGGGCATTATCTACAAAAAATACTGGCATGAAATTTCAGTATCATGTCATGTTGTGCCTCTACCGCTAATAAAATCATAACAGCAACTAAAAAGATTTTTTAAAACTCGCCTCAAAATCAGCATTCTTCTCACTGCGATCTACTTCTATTGTCAGTGTCTCTATCAGAGGTTTACCCAGCTTATACTCTTCTTTAATCTGATCTACGTCTATCTTTCCTTTGTTCAGGTGTCTCCGTAGATCCGGAGGCTTCCTCTCGTTGCTCTTTCTCTTCACTTCCAGGTTCGTTTTCTTTTCTTCTGGCTCTTCTGGCTGGTTCTGCTTCGACTTCCGGTATTTACTGGGATAAATTATATTTAGCCCAACGCTATTTGTGAAAATGAGGTAAAATACCTTAGAATGATCTACGATTTGTTATAATAATAGTGTAAAATGAGTAAATTTACAATCCAAAGAAATGTGATTTACATTATATGATTAATCTAAACAATACCTAAACTCTAAAGCATACAAGTTACAACCATGGTTGAACACACATACTTAGTTTGAGTAATGAATGGCGCGTTGGGGTTGCCGTAGATACTGTAGTATCTACTGTTCTTATATGCTCCCTTCCTTTTCACATCCCCTGAAAAAGTTAAAATATTCAATCAAATTGTGTGCATTGTTAATTAATTGAACGCAATTTTTAGGAGATCGATCACATTAGACAGAAGAAAATGTATATCTAAGAAACAGGATCATACAAACCAGTATTTGCAAATCTCATGAAGAGGAGGTGAGCTTTAGGATTGTCTTTCAAAGCGAGTCTCCAGATTCCCTTGTACTCATCATCTGGAGGTCTGTCTAAAGTTCCTGGAATCAGGTAAAACTCGTCCTCTGGTGGAAAGTATAACATTTGTTACACGCTTGGAAATATAAAATTGAGTATTAATATTATAAATTAGAATGATGTTTATTGTTGGGATAATATCTGCGATACGATTTGATAGAAAAGAGCAGAGACTGATCGAAATAAAAACCGACATTTTCCATACAGTGTAACCATATTATATATATAATAAAATATCGGATATCTAAGCGAATTCAGGACGAACCTTCCTTTTCTTTCCGTCTGAGTTCAGCTTTAGTCTCCTCTAACTCCTCCGTAGTGAACTTCTTGCTGAGACTCATTAGTGCTCGTTTTACACTGTGCACATCTGACCAAACCACGTTACCTGACAACACGGTTAAGTTAACGCTAATAATCATGAAGCAAGAGAACACACACGTCATCAAACACATCTCCTCAAATTGATAACCAGGCATGATAATACAACGTCCCCCCCCCTCCCCCGCCCCGTCCACTTACAATGAGTATCGTCTATCCATTCTATGTGATGGGGAGAATAGTCAGCAAAGTAGTGTAGGATATCATCTGTACTGAGGTCGTCTGTTCCGTACAGATGAATTGCGTCAGGTCTCCTCTCAAACATTGTACCTTGGTTCTCCTCCCTGGGGTTTATGTTTTTCAGTAAGCCTACTTTAACGTATCACTGTAACATATCAGACAACACGAGAAAGGGGAATAAGTTACTAAGGTTAGTGGATAGTGGGATATTTGAAGTATTAACTTACTCATTTTCGTCTTCTATAGATACTTTGGAGTCATCTAATCTGCTTTTCTCGACCCGCTCATGTTTTCCAAAACGCTGCATTCTCATTTGTCTGCGGTATTTTGCTTCTTTTGAAGTAGGGTCAAAACCGGTCACGAACTCGCCTGAAATGTCAAATACAATTTTCAATAAAATCATTAATTTTAATCCGATACAATGCACGTGCGCTTTCTTGGAAGTCCAACTGATTCACGTTAAAGATGATTTGTAGATAATAGATTAGTGAGTCGTGCAGCCAATAAGGGGCCAACATATTATATTATATAGGACAGCTTCACCCAATATAAATACAAAACACCAGGCCAAGGTAACATGCCTTGATCGTTAAAGATTTACCTGCTTTGTTGAGGTAAACTTTCGGTTCCAATTTCGCTTCAACAATTTTAGGGGCCTCAATCCGCTGTCTCTTTGATTTTCTGGTGGGGCTTGTCGAATCTGTTTCAACTGAAAAAGCCTCGACTGGATCCATTGGTTTAACAGGGCTTTGAATTGGTGACAACGCTCTCTTTTTCGCCACATTTTCTACAGCCACAACATTTTCTTCAAGCTCGCTCTCATCTAGTTGAATGCCTTTCTTTTTTCTTTTCTTCTTCTTTTCCTAGGCATTTGATAATGAGCTTTAATAAAAATGGGACAAATCCGGTTTGAATCGTTATTAGAGAGGCTCAAACTTAAAAATTCGAAACAAAATCTAGAAAATTGAGGTCTACAAATGTTGACAAGCAGCAGTTGAAATGAGTGTTACCATAACCACAGTGTCCGTGTCGTTGGAATCCCCCTTGACAGATATCATCTGCATGATGTTCCGGACCTCTTCCTCCTCCTCTGAGTCAGGATAGTCAGGTAACTCTGCCAGGATATCTGCTGCCCGGGGGAGTGGCTCTAACTGAAAGTCTGGGTCAAAGTCGGACTCTTCTGTGTCTCTGTCCCCATCCTTCTGTTGGCCTGTGTCTTGAATGTCACTCATACTATCTTAATGAGTTTAGCTATAGGTTAGATGCGATGAGTTGGTGCATTGTTATTTATTTCTTTAAATAGTGGACTTGAATATTATTGTTATTTGAATGTTATTGTTATTTGTTAAAATTGCCATATTTCTCATTGAAAATCGACCCGACAGGTGGGTATCGATTACCTATAATACCCCTGACTTGGAGTAAATTTAAAGCGATTGTAGAGGTCGAAAGATACAAAGCTTCAAACACAAATTATGAAAAACGAACAAAAATTTAATTCAAAGTTATTAAATTTTCCAGTTAAAAAATGTTTAAAAATTCAACATCCACATTGAAACTGAGAAATAAAAAATCAATTACACACCCATACATAATCTCAAATAAAAAATAAATACAATAAAAATTCAGTTCAACTCATTATATATTAATTGATAGCTGTGTCATTTGGAAACCAAAATTGCATGGTAAATTAAATGCAATGCATAGTATACCCATGAAAATTGTGGTGTGTGCAAATTGAAATGAGTAAATCAAATATTCCTATAATTCAATCACAGTAAATAGCTTTACGTTAACTCTATACCTTAATTAAGTTAATAAACCAATTTTCATAGAATAATATAAAATTGTAGCATTTATAGTTTTAAAGAAGCACCATAGCAAATTTTTATAAATTGTGATTCAATAAAATCAATCATCTTAAATCGAGTCATTGCAACGCTACTTACTTGAATAAATCAACCTTAACTGAAATCTTCGATAGCGTTTCACAAATTCAAAAACTTCCCATTTAGAGAGAAGTTTCAAGGATATCAACTGAATTGGTTGATTGTCTAAGTCCAAAGCCAAGAGGTAAAAATGTAACAACTTTGATGAATGTATATTTATGTCCACAGGAGTCACCTTTACAGAAAAACCACAATCTGATTTGTTGAGATAGATTCTCATTTGTAACCTGTGATTCTTTATAGGACACTTGTTAACATGACAGAGATTGGATAAACTTCCAGTTTCAGGCTGAATGTGTCCATTGTGATTTATTTGGTGTAGAAGGTAATCTTTTTTAAGAGTAGCTGAAACAAGAAATGTGTTCTCATTGCCACATTTTGAAATGACGTGAACTGCTTTTTGTAGTACTGAGTTGAAAATAGCCTGAATATCGTTGACAAATATTGCTGAAATCGGATTAAGATCAAATGCACACATGAGAGGCTTGTGAAATTTGTTTAAAAATGGGGACTTACTAATTTGTACCCAGGTAAAAACAAGGTCAATACAAAGATAGGCAAAATCTAATCGGGTTTTCACAATACTATTTTGATGCTTCAAGTGAAGTTCCTTGTCATATCCTGTACAAATAAACTGCACCACATCTTCGAAAGTAAAGTCTATCCAATTCCTCTTAATGAAAACACCAGAGGATTCTTTGCTTGGAACTATAGAAACTGATGGACTCTTCATCACCAAGTTCTCTTGTTTCTCTTCTTGACTGATAGTAATTTTAGTACAATTAATATGAGATATTGAAGATGGTTTTGACTTCTGTTTTAATGGCTGATATATAACTTTTAGAACAAAATTGGGATACTGGCTGCTTATCTCGAGAATTTCAGCTTTTGTGTGAATTTTTATAGAAAAAATGTTTTCAACATACTCCCTTTTATTGAGTGCAAGTAGGTAAAAGTGAGCAAGATTTTTAGAATGAATATTATCATTCGATTTGAATGGCACTGAGAAAGCTTCAACTGGATCATTTGCTGTTTTCTTAAGTAAAACAAACAGTTCGATTTTGTGATCTATGATTTTGCACAATCGAAACTGGCAAACTTCATCAGGATCAATAAGGAATATACAGCCATTCTGTTGAATACATTTCTGAACGTGGCTTCGTGACATAATCTTTGATGATATGAAGAATGTGTTATCATTACTGTCTTTAAAATCAACACCGCGAATTGATTTTTCAGCAGTAGAAAGTACTTCTTCCACATCAAGTAGATACTCCCTTGAAAGGCCTTTATCATTGAAATTACTAAACAACCGAGAAAAGCTGCTGCTATTCATCTGTTGCTTCTTGAGAAATATCCATGTAAAAATCAAGTCTATTTTCAAGTAATTTTGAACACTATCTTGTTCAATGGTCTTTGCAATATTCATTACATCAGCAAATAGAAGAGATTTCAATAATTTTTTGTCATGAACAAACTTTGATACGTCTTTCACTTTGGATTTTTTTCCATTGAAACATAAAGAGGTTGTGTCTTTCTCAGACTTGTTTTCTACTTTAAGGAAGTAGAATCTATGTCTTTGGCCACAATACAAATACTGCTTGCCGGTTTACTCTTGCTCTCTGCTTTAACTTTTACCATCTCTTTTACAATAGATTCATGGTAAGCATTTTCATTATCTATATTTGTTGATAAGGAGACAGAATCACAAAAATACTTATCCTTGATTACTTTCAGCTGAAGTATGTCTGACGGTTCTGTAATACTTTTTGTCATTTCAGTAAAAAACATGTCAAGCATAACTTGATTCGGCAAAATTGCTGGGATCAACCAATCTTTGGTGTCACGTTCTGACCACATTATCTTCAAAATGGTTGGAACATTTTTTGACTGTGTCAAAAGCTTGATTATTTCCCTGCCATTCTTTGTGATAAGACCCTGGTACAAATGAACTTTTTCATTTGAAAACCACTCTGACACACATCTTATGTATGTTTCAACACTTGATATGAGTTTCATAAAGGCTCCTTCACACTGTTCTTGCATTGATGAGATCTTGTAAAAAGATGCAAAATGATAAAAGTAATAAATTGTACCTAGATCCATATTCATAGTATCGCCATGCAAATAAAGCAAACATTCACGAAGGATATTCTCAGACCCAGGGAACTGCAAACTATTGTCCAATAAGATTTCTTCTGCTCCTGAATATATTAGTTCCTCGAAAACTGGGCTATGTAGCACAAGCAAGACAGAATTTACTAAAAAATTTGTTTGATTTACTCTGATAAGAACAATCTGAGCAACATCAAAAGACTTGAAGAACCTAGTAATATTCTTTTGATTAGGAAGAGATATTGAATGTGTACTTTCATCCATTCTTCTGTTGCTCTATGTTTGCAAATGCATACTATAAATGATGAAGTTTTGATGAAGTGTTCAGAAACACCTGTTAATACTATAACAATAATAGGTTGACACCCAAAAGTAAACTTCTGTCAATAGGATACAAGGATACAAGGATACAAGGATACAAGGATACAAGGATACAAGGATACAAGGATACAAGGATACAAGGATACAAAAGTGATAATTACTGTATTGAGTACACTATAGTTGTAATTCTGAAATAATTTAAGTTACACAATTCTAATTATTTACAAATGTGTAGGGATAATTTAGAAATGTTATATAATGCTAGTTTTAGAAAAATAAATAAATCGAGTTTGTATGGTTCAATTTTATTTTAAGGTCCTATAGCATTATACACTTGCCAGTATTTGAGTAGAAATCTGGGCTCTTATAATAGGCTGTATATTGTTCGTTCACAGAGGTTGTGGCAGCTGATACGGAACCTTGTCAGACTTTTTCGAACATCAGGACTCAGGTATTTTGATAATTCGTAGATATGCCTCTGGTTCGAAATCATGTTTAATTAAGTTATAGAATTCTAGTTTTAGCGGGGAGGCCTTGGCAGCTTTCCAGGTATTCACGAATTCTTCCCTCGTGTTATGACTGATTTGGGTGGAGAGCTTAGATTTTGAGGAAGATGAGGGCCAGGGGGTGAAGTTTTTCATTCCAATGCACTTTTTATCGGTTGTATTCATAAACATGAAGCTAAAGTCATATGTGGGCAATTCCACGTAGTGTAATTCACACTTTGCACAAAATTTAGCTTTTAATTGCATGCTAATTGTAGGCTAACATTAGCAGCATCAACTTAATAACACCAGAATGTGTGTGTGTCTGTGTGTCTGTCTGTCTGTCTGTCTGTGTGTAATTTCCGAACGGTTATACAAAAAAAACGGTAATAGTTACGGGACTGGTTTTTTCGGTATAGTGCCGACAAAACTCTGATGAAGCCCATAGGAATTTTTTTTTAAAATCGGCCGGTGGTAAGTGGTTTAATTGATGGTTTTGTACCACAAATGTTACATAAAATTGCTTGAGCAGAACGGCAAGAGTTACGGGGCTTGCTCTCTCTCTCTCTCATTACTGTGTAATATGTTATAGCTGCATTTAAGTAGCGTCATAATTGGATTAGCCCGGAAGATTTGCTGTAATGTTATACCTTAAGCTTATTAGGGGAGGGAGGACTGTTAGTGTTTGGGGTCTGTTTGGACTGCAGAGAGAGAGAGAGAGAGAGAGAGAGTTCATACGACAATGTTATGCGTGTTTTCAAATATAATATGCGGGTGTGGTGCGGAGTTAACAAGGGTTAATTTCTATAACGATTTAAATAAAAATAGAAAGCGGTTCAGGACGAGAGTGATGAGGTGTAATACTCGGTGTTCAGACCTTATGATGATGGAATGTGGTGCCTCATGGCTAATAATGATTTAATTATCCACAAGAAATAACTGATTATGAGATTATTGTTTAAGAAACTATTGGGTCACCTAATGCGGGTTTTGACTCAGCGGGTAATTACTCCTACCCTTTTTAACTGCGGCAGTGAAATCCCGGCCGTAGGCCGGGTTACACTAGTGATAATATAAAGTCAGAATGAAGTTTAAACGTTTGTGATGATGTGGCAACAAAAGTTTAATGTCTATCTCTTATACTTTTTATGTGAGCAGCATTTTAAAAAGTAGGCGTTATTCACAGGCATAATTTGGTGTTTTAGAAATCTTGCCTTAAAATTGCAATTCGTGCCCCAGTGTAATAGCAGAAGTTACAATAAGGCTTGATCACAATAAAGTACACATTTTTTCAACTTCCTATGTCCTTCCTAACATAAATTTGTGGAATGTGTGTAGTACAGGGACAATATAGGAAGTAAACGTTATTCACATTTGGACGTAGTGTAACTCACACTCTGCCCAGTTGCTCTGTTTGTGCGTTGTATTGATGTTTGCTTGTTCTTGATTTGGTTGCTGCTATTGTAAAATGGTGAAGTAGACTGACTATTACTGATTTTAAATTAAATTGACTACTAATCGGTCCAATTAGATACTGGTAATGGTGTAGATTACACCCTACTGCCATACCACAGTGGTCGGGCGCCCATGCGAGGTAGACATAAGATATAGGCATGACTAAGGGGTATGATATACCACAAAACATGTGTTCTAGGGGTATCTTGCCCCAAAATAACGTTTAAAAAGGTTTTGATAGTGATTAAATGGATATTTGACCTCAAATATTAATTTTACCTCATATTTTGTTAAAAATTGCATTTTTTGGCAATTTTTTGCCATTTTTTAGGACAAACTACAAAAATAAGTTGCAAGTTAACTTTGGTAAGCATCTATAAGTTGATCTATCTGTAAGTATAGGACATTTAGAGTAATCCTAGAAAAATGAACAGTGTAATATTGTGGCATGATTTTTTTATGAGCTCTCAAAGGTTCATGATTAGACAGAAATTGGGCGAAATTTATAACTTTTTGAATCCATTTTTAGACCATTTTATCACTTATATCAATTCTAAACTACTTCTTTGTGTTTTTAATGTGAAGAGGTCATCAAGAGCTTTAATTTGATACCTCTATACATGGTTTTTGATAAAAATTAGAATTTTTTGGGGCAAAAACACTGCTCTTTTGAGCAAAATTTAGTTACATGACAAGAAAATAAGGTAATTTTAGCCCCAAATTGCTGATATTTTCTGAAAATAAGCCTTTAAATTACTCAAATAAGTGTTCCCAGACCTAACAATGACTATAAAACACTTTCAAATCAATTTTGATGTCCTAATCCATTTAAAAATCATTATTTTTGCGATTTAAGGTCTAAAAGTGGCACATTTTGCCCTGGCGGAACCCTAATTTCGATTAAATTACCAACACTTTCAGGCAGTTGTTGAAAATAGGTCCCTGGAATTGCCCTGGAAGTATTGAAAGTACAATTTATTTCACAACAAAGCATTTAAACCACTTGTTTTATTAATTTTCCGCTGTGTAAATTACACTACCAAGCTGTGAATTACGCTACCTGTGAATCACACTACCCCTACTTTTTGCACTTCCAGTGTGACAAAACGAATGAAATTTTCTGACCTTTATAGATGACTAAAGTTGCCGTTAGAGAGAGAGTTACGAATCAAACAGACTTATAGTGTAGCCACAGTAAAACATTTTTCACTATTTGGTAGCGTTATTCACACGCGAAGAGGAAAAATTTGATCATAAGACACTCAAAAAGTAAAGAAATTTGGCCCTCAAAATTAGGCTGGCCTTCTATCTGAAGCCCACTAGGTTGATATACAGGATAAAATATTGAATTCTACGATTAATAAAGCTCCCTAAAATCTTTCGGAAAATAACTGGATATTCACACTAAAGATACACTAAATTTAAGCCAACTTTGACGCGCTACAGTTTTTAAACTAGGCTAGATATCAACAAACGGTTTTTTGCCCCTGAAAATATGGTCAAATATCTTAAAGATTTTCTATCTCTCCCAAACCACCTCCAAACTTTATTATTTTGTTACTGGTTACCGTTATCGTGGAATTGCCCATGTATAATTAATACATATTATATATTAGTAAATATATCGTTAATTCAATCACTAATAATTTTGGATTCACAAAACGCTGGATGCGCGCGCGGCACAGGAGGGTCAAAGTGCAAAGAAACTGCTGCTAACTGCTGCTGACTGCTGTCAACTGCTGCTCACTGCTGCTCACTGCTACTAAAGTTTATAACCTACCAAGACGCGCGCCGAGTTGGACTCGTCAAGTATTGACAAATGTTATTAGTCTACGTAATAAGCGCCATGAGTTGGCACAGAATTTTTTGTCTCTGGTTTTGATAAATTTGTTACCAAAAGTTGCTTTAACTGTGAGTAATGAAAATTCACTGTGTAGCACGATAACGTCAAAATGTATGTGGGCCTCCTGTGCCACTCCTGCGCGCAGTGTTGTGACCTCCCTTCGTCGTAATAATTAGCTCGTATTCAGATTGAACAATTTTGAAGTCAAATAAATGTGGTTTCTTTTAGACTTAAATAAACAATATGGATGTAGTCCGAAAGTAATTTGTCTACTAAATAACATTTTGAAATTATGAACAAAATTGGCGAAAATTTGCCGAGTAGATGTGACCAAAAAAACTACGCGCAGAACTAAATATTTTTTCATAAACGCGTGAAAATTTTTGAGTTAAACATTGAATATTTTAGCTTGGTTATTATAATACTTAATTTTCAAGTCTCTATCAGATAACTAAATATTTTATCTTTACGACAGTATAAAATTTGTTTGTATATTTGCTAAATTAAAAAAACAGTAGCAATAGAAACGTCGAAGGTCTTGCGCTTATTTCAGTCCCAAAATATACCCTAATCATAAACTTTATAAAACCCACTGAAAATGATGTCTACAGGCATATTTATCCCGTACACCTTCCTAAATCATTTAGCAAGGGTTCAGAGCCAGTGTTTAAAATTAGCTTTCGAATATCATTGTCAAGACATAAAACTATAAATAAATGAGTGCATTTTTCTCTTTCGTCTCAACAAGTTCTCTTTCATTTTAACACTAGTTATACATTGGTAAAAGCAATCAGCGATCTTTATTAATCATTGAAGGAGTAGAGTAATTGGTCCTCGTCAATGTTTAGTGTCTGATTACAGTCTCGGTCCGACCTCCACAACTGAAAAGATATTGGGGGTATTATCAGTTATGTAAATGGACAAATTATATTTGCATCATAAAACTATGAAAAGATTGAAACTAATGTTTTTGAAGGCTCGCCTTTTCGTTTAACTTTAAGCAATCAAATAGTCAGTGCATGCACAGTAAAGAACAGTTGAAGGCACCGGGAATGTTTTAAATATAACCTCTGTCTACTATCAAGTATCAGACCACACACCCCATTATGCAGAGCTACAATGTACAGTGGCAATTAAAATGTGTTCCCGCCATTTTAAAATGCGCGCATCTTGCGCCGTGACCATGATGGTCACAGCGCATGCTGGTGAACGAACTATTGGGACAAAATTGGAACATTTTGGAACATTGGTTACATCGGTTGTGGACATGCAGTGATCCCCAAACTTGGTTTGAGTGGTCCTAGGACCAATCTAAACGCTTTCCGGCCAGTTTTCAACCGTTCTGAGCACTTTTAGTTTTAGGAGATTCTTAATTTTTGTTCATTTTCGTGCATTCCATGAACCTGGGTAAATTTCATGCTCATTGGAAATTAGAAGGTAAAATAACTCACATGACAGTGCTCCCGACAAGTTTCACGGATATAGTGATTGAGTTTCTAGTCACCTAACCTCTTGGCCTGAAAGATTTCTTGTTCGCCAGGGTGACTGCTTGAACGTCAACTTCAACCTCTCCCACTGCATCGAATCGAGGTAGAGTTGTTAACTGAAATATTAAATTCAGTCTAGCGGCCAAATTTCATTGATTTCAGAGGGTGTGGCACGTCACCCTCTCCTTTTAGTTTTGATTATTGTCGCCATAAAGCGAGAACACTTTATACTAGGAACTCCAAAGTTGACAGACACATTTGGTATAACAATTCAAGTGATTCCCAAAATTTCAAGTTGATTACACAATTTAGCCAAGTTATGAACCATTTAAGGGCTGCACGACAAAGGGGAACCCCAATTATTTATATTAGGGGGTCAAATTATATCACCAATTAGTGCCGTATAATTAATGATGTGATCATCCATCCAGTTGTTTGACATGTGCCCGGATGAAGGATATGAAAAGTAGAATGGTATGAAGAGAACAGTGGAAGTGGAGGCGTCGAAGAAAGTCTGTGTCTAGGGGGAGCGGTGATTCCAAACGTAGCGGAAAAGCCAATCAAGTTCCTGGGTCGGTGGATTAGAGCAGAGGCAGCACACCAACAGTTTTCTGAGGAAGTGGCAGGGTGTAGGCCATACACTGAGTAAAATCTGCTTATTTAGTCAACCATCTAGTGTGGCCTTGCCCATCAGCAGCCTGTCCGATACTCCATCAGTCCTACCAGCAGTTTTTTGATGGCATGATAAGGGCGATTTAACCGCAAGTCAGGTCAGGGAGAGTTTGGAGACCAGACAAGGAACTAGATTGTGCTGAGAGGGACTTAGTCTGTGAAGAGGTGAGAGGAATGGTCCAGCCGTACAGCAGGGCAGGGATTGGTTTTGGAGAATGGAAGAAACCGTGGAAGAAGATGAAGACGGACATGAGCTGGCACACACTCTTTAAGTATGGTGATTCGCTCACAGGTTTTATGCTCAGTGCGACTTATGGTACTGTGGTCACACCAAATTGATTTTTTCAAATAATCCAAATACAGGCAGCGATTTAGTCAACTTACGTTTTTCATTTATGTAATTGAACATTAAAAAAAGGAATCCTTCATAGAATTTTGCATTTTTCATTATCTCGAGGGTACAAAATTGTCAATTGAGAAACACGTCATAAATCTAAACAAATAAGTTCATTAAAATAGCTATCAATCAGTAAATGAACGAACCTGTACATCTAGATTCTAGGTGATGTAGGTTCACCACTTGTAACTTGTCAGACCGGTTGTTGTACAGCTTCCTGCTCAGCCTGAAAACACATTTCTGTTACCATGACAACGTTACCATTACAAGTTACCCGTGATGGGGAGTGTCCCGAGGTTACGTGACTGATAAAGTTAATAGACTTGGACTTAGTGACTCTAGGGACGGAATTGTATGATAATTGCCAGAATTATGTTAAATATGAAATAAGTCCCAAGACAAACATTTTGACATATGTTTTGACATGCGTTTTGACACACGTTTTCTCTGCATAATTTCCACACTAGAGGGGGGGGGGAGGGTATAAAGCATGTCATCAAACCCTAATTATACATTTCACATTCAATATTCACTCATGTACACAGACAATTAATTGGCACGTGTTTGATGTTTATCGTTAATCTACTCATGTACATACAACAACAAGATACGAGGCTAGGTCACTCCCGGCGTTGGGATGGCCTGAGGTGCTAATCTCCTTTTCATTAACCCTAAGCCACACTGTGCCAAGGCACTATACTTGCTCATGCTGTAGGGGGGTTAGTCCTGTGCCAGAGAAAGTGTATCACCAGCCGAAGCTGTACCAAATCACATCTTGGTAACCAAATGACTATTCCAGAAGTTCATAAAATTCGGAACTTACGTAGATGAGGGCAATCTTCGATACTGGAAGCTTCCTAATTCTTTTCGTCCACCTAGGACCCCAGGTCAAGATTAGTTTGAAATGGTCGCCTATGGCGTTTTTGATGGTCGTTTTTACACACTCGGCCTCGCCAGCCTTCGGCTGGCTCGGCCTCGTTAGAGTGAAGTCATTCTCAATCTCGGCCTCGCCAGCCTTCGGCTGGCTCAGCCTCGTGAGAGTGATATCAGTCTCGGTGTGTCTATCATAAACAATTAAACTTCAAGTTAATTGAGTAGTCGTGAAATGAGACGACATGTCTTCAGTTTCACGACTAATGGTACATTATTACATTCAGAAACTTATTACTAGGCAGTGAGTGCGTTTGATAAACTGGCATAGTAAGTGATATATGTCATATGATACCGATGGTTAAGTGTCAGTATTATTAGTTTCTCCAGAGGGATCCGGGAGGGAGGTGAGTCTAGCCACGTGCAGGGGAGCAAGCTTCGTATCCTAGAATCATCTAGAGTATAACAGTGCTTAGTGTATCCATTGAAATAATTACCAGATGAGTATGAAATTGTAAATTTTGAAATTAGATAAAAAATTTCTGATAATTCTTTGATTTATTTGAAACGCAAGGATATATTTTTCAAGCAGTTTATATAGTCCACCACCATGTTTTTAACATGCGCCCCTCAACTCGTTATACCGATTGAGGGCCTTATGAAGTACTGTTGGTGTTTACACTAGCACTGTGGTCTTAGATGATTCTAGGATGCAAAGCTTACTTCACCTAGAACATATGAGTTCCCTGTATGTGGCTGGACTCACCTCCCTCCCACTTGCACTGTTCAAGATGATTTCATGAGCACATCCTGGGAATTAAAAGGTAATTATGGTAAAGGATAATGACAGCTGTAGCTACAATATTAAATTGATTTGTGAAAATCGGTCGATGTGAAGCTTCCTTAAGCCAAACCCTAATAATACTGTACCACTCAAACTTCGAGAATTTTCTAAATGAATCTAGACTAAAGGAACCAACTTGAATCCATACAATTTTGAATGCTAAAGTTTAAAATACCGCTTTATATTATCACCATTCACCAGACACTATAGCTGGAGAGGGATTGTTTGTCCCAGTTTTGGTCGTCACCATGACAACTGAACTTGTTTTTACAGAATTGCGGATTTATATAGTAATTTTGGTCAAATCGGGCGACCAATTTTAACTAGCTAGATTTGGCGCCAAATTTAAAATATGGTCGTTCAGTCGCCATACGACCAAAAAAAACAAGCGCGGCACTTGCTAGATAGTTAAAATATGGTCGTTCAGTCGCCATACGACCATAAAAAACTAGCGCGGCAGAAAAACTATTTATTTGCTAATTGGAAATTATTTGCGTGTGAACGACCAATTATTGGTCGTATGGAACTAATAAAAACAAAAGTTTGATACATCAAACTGGGCAATCTTGTGTGATTGGTCGGCTTGGAGATGGCTAGATAGTTAAGGATCTTGACCTGGGCCTAGGACTAGCTACTTCAGAAAGATTTCTTATTTTGTAGAATTCTAAACTGAAAAAGTTGAAAGTATCATTATAAGAAATGCATAAATTCCACAATAAGACTTTTCGTTATTCTTTAATCGTGAGACATTAATTGTTAATGCTTAAAAGTAATTCATCCGGACGAATCCAAGAGTACAATATGTGGTACAGTGAAAGCAGGATTAATGAACGAATAGTGTGACATTGGGTTCTCAACCATGAAAATTTAGAAGTCCCTACATGCTGTTCTTTCTGGCTCCATGTGCTAGTTAGGGGTCTGAGGTATCCGAAAAATCATGTTTTGGGTACCCAAAGTGTTCTGGGTGCCAGGAATGAGGTTATTAAAGCGGCGAAAATGACCGATTTTGGGGGGGGGCCAACCATATTAAAGTATATTAAAATGTAGGATTTTTTCCAATTTTGACCCGGGGATATACTTTAATATACTTTAATATACTTTAATATACTTTAATATACTTTAATGTACTTTAATATACTTTAATGTACTTTAATATACTTTAATATTCCTACATTTTCTCTATTAAAATTTTGAATCCATATTACTTACCATATACTCGACCAATTTATGAGCCAAAATATATGAATTATGAGTTCAGGGGACTAGCAACTGGCTTATCTTCTAATCTACTAATTGTAGGTATATTAAAGTATATTAAAATGTAGGTTTTTTTTCCAATTTTGACCCGGGATATACTTTAATATACTTTAATATACTTTAATATACCTACATTATAAAAAATTATGTGAAAAATTTTGTTGTATTTAATGTATAGATTAGATTTACCTTTCATGTAAAGTTAGTCTTGTTCAAAGATATTGATACTTGACCAATTTATGAGCCAAAATATATGAAGTATGAGTTCAGGGGACCAGTAATTTGCTTATCTTCTAATCTACTAATTGTAGGTATATTAAAGTATATTAAAATGTAGGATTTTTTCCGATTTTGACCCGGGGATATACTTTAATATACTTTAATATGGTTGGCCCCCCCCCCCCCCCCCCCCCCCCCCCCCCCCCCGATTTTGGACTATTTATGAGCTTTTTTGCCCATTTTCATGAGATAAAGAATCAGGAAAGCTGCTCTAGATGATTGAAATGGTTGATACCAATGAGGATACACCCAACACACATAAATATTCGTGATATATGTGATTTTAATGAGAAAAATATGATCTCAGGGCCCATTTTATACCAAAATTTGCCAGAACCACTCGCACTTGTCAAAGCTTCCTCATTTTAGACACATTTAATGATTATTATGGTATCTAACTTATGGTGGATCTGATAGGAGTATGTCTTACCCTGTCTTAGTTTCATTTTAAGGCATCAATGAGCATGCTGGTGTGTATGAAAGTACTTTAATCCTCCCGTCCATTGATATAGTCTGGGCAGTGGGCCATGCGCGCTCGCGCGTTTACAAACATGAATTTTCTCCCTCAGTATCTATCTAAAGCTTTTAAAGACATGATTTGAATGCTATCCTACTCAGCACATGAGTGCTACAGGATGGTGAAAGAATTTCTATAAAAAATCATTAAATGTGGAAGATATGAGGTCATTATATGTGTGTGCGCGCGCGCGCGTTTACAAACTTGATATCCTCAGTCCTTCCACATATACTGAGATTTTGTTTCAAACTTAATTGACTCTGAACCGAAATTGCCAGAGGAAACAGATAGTGTAACTCAGAAAGACCACAAATGGATAGTTTGTGAGATATTGAGGTTATACTCCAAAAAATTTACAATGATGTCACACCAGAAAACCCCTATTTTTGGTATATTTAACCTCATATCTCAAACGCGCAGTACTGGATTGAGCTAAACTTGGTCAGGTTTTGTAGCCCTGACTAGCCTCGATCATATGGAACAGGAATAAAACTGTTTAGATGTTATATCTTAATTGTATTAGGCACTTAGTTCTGAAAAGTGAGAATGTCATTAATACTGCTTTCACTGGGTAGGTGTGCTGAGTATTTAGTAGGGTATTTATAAAACACATTATTTGGCCGTTTAGGATCCTGAAATGAGTGCCAAGAGTCAGTTTTGTGGATTATATTGCTGGCTTTAAAGTGGTTTTAAAAAGTTTAAATAGTAGGGTATTTATAAAACACATTATTTGGCCGTTTTAAATCCTGAAATGAGTGCCAAGAGTCAGTTTTGTGGATTATATTGTTGGCTTTAAAGGGATTTAAAAAGTGTAAACAGTAGGGTATTTATAAAACACATAATTACTGAACACGTGTCGAGATTTACACCCCTCGGGAAACGTGAGCACACACTTAAAACGTGAAAAATCAATAATCAAGTAATCACACGTTTCCTTGCCCCTTCCCTTGTCTAACAAATGAAAACTATCCCCTCCCCTTTCACCAAACGTGTGTCTAATCACGAGCAATTTAAATCTAACACGTAAAAACAAGTAACACATAAATGCGAGTACAGTGGCAGTCAACTACATGAGTGGTAGTCAACTGATAGTGCGGAGAAACACGGCACACACGTTAGGCCAGGAATGTTCCGCGCCGTATAAGGAATAATTCACTGGGTGTACAAATAAACAATGTAGTTGGGCCGTGAACTGGTGGTATTTTTTACACAACTTGTTTTAGTGGGCCTGTCAAGTCCTGTGCTCGATTATAGGAGTATAGAAGTGAGGCGGAACACCATAGTATTAAGAAACAGGCACTTTTAGAGTCCATATTATCACTTTTCACGCTCAGTGCTTCAAATAATAATAATAATAATTCTATACAGTTACATAATTGAAACAATTATGGCCCCTTATTGTGGGCAGAGTATGTGTCTTTATTGAATTGTCCTGATATAAACTTATCTGAGTGACTGCATTAAAATAATTTAAGGTGAGTTAAAACTTTAAGACAATAGGAATAAATACTAGGACCTAATAAAATGAAAACAAAATGCAGCCATCTAATTTGTTGTTGAGCTTTCTCTTTTCCTACGGTTGACTAGAGGAACCATCTTTGGCGAGTATTAGGAACTTAGACCATTACAAATACCGTGCTGTAAGTTTGCAAGGCATGTGGACTAAGTGGGTCAAGAGTACTCAACTTGAAAGTGGGTGTTGAGAATCCTCAACTATACTAAAGATAATGATGTTCAGAAGATGAGGCAGTAGAGTGAGAAGTAGAGGCTGAAGAAGAATAAATGTCACAAGAGATGAGCACTATAATAATCATTTTTATGATAGTTCACCAATGGCAATTTGTGCTAGAGAGCGGAAGGCAGTGATGCTGTTATCACTATCATCTCTTAAGATAGACCATGATGGTTGGTCATTAAAGGAATGGTCCTGCAGGGTTTCCCTGTAAGAGCAGCTGCACAGTGGACAGTAGAAGAGTCTGTGATAATTGGTGTCCAATACCTTACAATTTGGACACTGAGGGTCGCAGTTGTTGGCTACCCTTGCCTGGAAGGCTGCAAAGGTGATGTCATGGCCATGTAGGAGAGACATAACCTTAGTATCCGTGTTTCTGCTTG